ATACAGTCTGACCAGATCACGTAGCGGAAAACGGTAGTGCATACACTAGATCGTGCGGGGATGCAACTAGGGGGATGTGTGGCGTAAATGTCTAAGAGGGGAAAGACAGGATAGGGAGTGGGCGACGGTCTCGCTGCCCGAGGAAGACGGGCGAGGCATGGAAACGAGAAGGGTCGGTACGCTATCGACCCGACCCTTCTTTAGTCTCGCCACGCCTGTGACGTTTGTTCTCACTGCAGAGCTACACAACTCACGCATTTTACGGCCGCGAAGCGATGACAAGTGCCTGAGTACCTGGGTACACGTCTCCTGACACCACCGAAACACCGCCAGCCGATGCGCAGATACATCCACAATTCGACCCGTCCATCACAGTTGGAGACTAAATGTCCGTACCAATAAAAGCAATCACAGAGCAGTGACCCACGGTTTTTGCCAAGAACTCCAGGTCTCGGCCATACCTACCCCGTGGAGTTGTTATGATCCAAGAGAACGTGGAGCCCAAAAAGCAGCATATCAAAACTTGGATATAGCCGAGCAGTGTAGTTAGAGGGGTAGATACAGCTCTAGATGAGCGTCTACACTCCCGGACCTTGGTGAACGATGCCACTAAGGGTGTCTTTGGCACTGTATCGTCAGTGGCTCAATACACGCGTTGTAAGCGCGATAACACACGAGCTTAGAGCTAGATACTGTTGATCCTACACTAGTCTCCCCAGCCTCATGTATCTTGGTACCTTTCACTAACTCCCTTTTGCTTTTGCCCGGAGCGTACGATCCCCTGTTGTTCCGCGAACCTGCAGCCACAGGCCAGGAAAGTAACAGTACCCACCCAGATTAGGCGTAGGATCAAGATCAAGCGCCGGAGGATATCCAGAAACAGCAAGCGCACGTGATTATAGCAACTGTCACGTCCGAATGTGATTGTTGCCACAGGAGGTCTTGGTAGAAGTGGCTTCGAGTGACAGCGGATTTGCCGCTATGTTTGCGCTGATCGTAGACAGACGTGGATTAGTTCCGTCTCTCATGCAGACTACTGGAGACAGTGAGCTCTTCACGTAGGGGAGTTTGGTATCACAACTCCAGACCGTCACCCTAAGGTTCGCTTCGAACTGTGGCGTACTCTCTTATCATCGAGGACACCATAATCATGCGATGGACAAAGTGACATCTTGGAACGAGGCTTGCGCTTGAGACTCACGATGACCTCAACCGCCATCAGTGCCAAGTTTCGTACGTTTTACCGAGGGGCTTCTTGCATCCAGACGAGCTGGAGTGAGTTCAGCTATGCTTGGTGTAGCCTGGGCAGAAATGATCTCGATCGGGGGAGGGACAAGCCATGAGAGTAGAAGATAGAGGGAGCGCTTCACCTGAGCACGCTGAAATGTCTATATAAGACCTACCACCCTTCACCCATAGCCATCATCATCATCAGAACAACTCACAGCATCACAACTACTAAGCACCTTTCTTCTCACCATCCCATCATCTTTTACAACCCAAACCTCCTCTTCATCCCAACACCAAGATGAAGCCTTCCACCATTCTCTCCGTCTTCACTGTGGTTGCCACTGTCTCAGCAGTGCCTACCATGGAACTTGAACCGAGAGCAGCTCCAACATGCCCTGCTGGAAGCTTCAAGCAGATCTGCCTGCCCGGCGGACTGTTCAACATCATCAACACGCTTCTCGGCAACATCCTCGGCACTGTTCAGATTTTCGGTACCCCTTGCGGCGGCACGATCAAGTGCTGCACTACTTCTTCTGGAATCGGCTCCAAGATCAAGGTCAGCGGACTCAAATGTGTCGCTCCTACCACACCAACCACACCAACCATTCCGCCCGTGGTGTCTGCACTTCCACCTGTCATTCCACCCGTGGTGTCTGCTATCCCGCCTGTGGTGTCTGCCATCCCCCCAGTCGTCTCTGGAGTGGTTTCCGCTATCCCACCAGTCGTCTCCGCTGTTGTCCCACCCGTGGTTTCCATCGTAGCACCTGTGGTCTCCGGTGTGGCTTCAGTCGTAGCGCCTGTGGTGTCAGTAGTAGCGCCTGTGGTTTCCGGCGTGGCATCTGTCGTTCTACCAGTGGCAACACCCATCCTTGAGCCAGTACTCTCCGCCGTGGTACCAGTCGCGACACCCATCCTCTCCGTCGTAGTACCAGTCGCGACACCCATCCTGAACCCAGTACTCTCTGTCGTAGTGCCAGCGGCAACACCCATCCTGAACCCAGTCGTCTCCGTCGCTGCACCAGTCGCAACCCCCATCCTTGGACCAGTACTTTCCATCGCTGCACCGGTAGTAACACCGATCGTTCAACTTCCGGGCATTGGACTCTAGTTTCGATTTTGGAAGAACGCAGAAGTTAAACTACAAAACTCAATGTTTTTGCCGCTTTGGATTTCTTACTACACTCATTTCAGGTTTTTTATGGACTTGGTTCGGGAGGTTGGCTCTGTATAGCGATGTCTACACTCCTTTTGTCTCACTCATGTACTTGGAATAGTGATATAGTATGAATAAAAAAGCGATTAGCGATCAAACAAAAAACCCTGAAAGTCTGTGTTCCGGTGCGAAAAGAATCGAAGCTTCGTTGAGAAAGCACACGCAGCTGCAATCCATTGCCCAGTCAACTCATTCAACCACCCTCCCAAACCCCTCCTTCTCCCTCATACCCCTCCCCTTCGCCTCGATCTTGTCATTCTTGACCATACCCCCCACCTTCTCCACCACCTTCCCCAGGAGAGAATCTGGCTCCGGTCCGCTCATCTCCCCCGTCTTATTCCCATACCCTGCGCCGCCTGTAGATCCGCTGCCCATGGCTGTCCCATTAGAATAAGGCGCTGTGTCGGAGTGGCTGCCGAAACGGAATTCAGAGGTGTCAGTGTCGGGAGTGGACGAGGAGCGTTTGTTTCCTGAGGAGGTGTTAGCGATGTTAGACGTGTTTGGGGGAGCGTTTGCTGGGGGACGATGAGAAGAGGGAAGGGGGAGGGTGGAATTACCAAATCCTGCGCCGCCTGTTATACCTGAGCCGTGTTTTTCGTGGGGGTTATGGTATGGGGTGTGCGAGTCTACGAGACCGAGACGTGTGGTGCTGTGTTGGTCTTGGAGGTCTTCTGCGGTGTAGTCTGGAGCTGTGCGGTTTCCATAGCCTGCCATATTTGCTTGTGATTATGTGATAACTTTGAGTGTTTGGGTGTATGTTCAGGTTTGTATTACTCGATATCGGAAAGTATGACGGTGGGTAGTAGGTTGTGTTATGTTACCACGAATACGCGGAGATACATCGTGGACTATATATCGTTCATGCACCCTTCCTTTACTATCTGCCGTGTGCTAGCCCGAGCATAATTGGCATGTGTTAAGGAGTCAAAAAGCCTTATGAGGTCACCTTGCTGGGGGAGGCGTAGATCATGCGATCAGAAGCTCTATAAGAGGGTGGAAGACCCGGCCAAGGTGTGCTTGGTATTCCTTGTAGTACGCTAAGTTCCGCTTATGTGGGTCGGAGGAGATAGTGGCTAAACTGAATCCTACGTGCAGCTGTCGACGCTATGCAAGTTTACGATACCGGGGATGCTTTTGATAGGCCCTTGAATACTTTTGGATCGAACGAGCCGCTGGCCTCAACTTGACAATGGTTCCTTTTTCACGCCTTGAATGCGTGGTGAGGAATTGTAGGTCGGCACTCATTGGATCGATTTGTTGTAAAGATTGAGGCCAGAGATAAAGCTGACATCCCGAAATGGTGGTCGTCGCCGCTGATCCATGATAGCGATAAGAGTCCCGCTAGGTGCTGTTCCGTCACTGGCTACTCTGTGTCTGCCAAGATCTGGGGTATCCCACACTCCCTAAAACCCATCTGAAAGATCCAGAACCTGTGCGCCAAGTTGTCTAACGCCAGCAGTGCAATGCATAATCATCGAGAATCGGAAAGGACGAATAGCTGAAGGTGATGACCTCACCGGATATATTTGGACTGTCGCGTGGTGTTAGAATATACTGGAGGGTCAATCAAGGAGCACATACCATGAATTTCTTGTGGAAGTCGGACCGCAGCATGTCGTTGATGAATTCCTTCTTCTTGTTCCTGTCTTCGGTACCTCGTGCTTGGTTCTTGAAAACGACATCGTCGTCCCATCGTCGCTTCATGGTGAAGTCTTTCGCGTTGAGCAGGGGGTTGCCTCGGGCGACATCGATTTCGCGTTGCTGTTCCTCTTCTGCGGCGCGTTCCGCCTCCTCTTTGGCTTTGGCTGCGGCGCGCTCCTTCTTGATCTTCTCCAGCTCGCGCATGAGGGCGGCTGTTTCATCCTCTTCGTCTTCGTCGCTAGAATGTCGTTAGCCAACGGATTGATGCACAACAAATGGTCGCACTTACTCGTCATCGCTGCTCTCACTCTCGCTACTGCTGTCGTCGGCGTCCACGTCTCTAAATTTTTCCAAGACTTCTATGCGCCGCCGTTTTTGAGCTGCTTCGTCCTCTTCCCCCTCTTCGGCTGCCGGCACAGCATCGATCTGACGCTTGTGCGCATTGCCAGACTCAGCTGCTGCCTCCGGTTCGATGTAGGTGCCGTTCTTCTTCGCGATGTGACGCGCCTCGGCCTCCAGAAGTTCGGCGCGAAGATCGCGCTGTATGTCGGCATCGCCGCCCTGTCCCGGCTGTCTATGCTTGAGTGTTGTGTGCGCTGGGAGTAGTCGCTGGTGGTAGGCGGGTCCTCGCTGGGCTTCTTTGCCGCGCGCGGGATCGAACGTCGGTCTGTGGGCGGTCGTCATTGTATCGTTCTGTTATTTTGCGATGGCACGATGGGCTGGCACAGGTTTCGGAAGTCTTGCGCGTGGTTGACGTAGTGAGTAGGTGATGTGTAGAAGAATTGGTGCACAGAAGCTTGAACTCGTAAATCGCGCTAGAGGACCGGCGATTACAATTCCCCGCCGCCGCATTTTCTATGGCTGTTACAACTACCATTTCACCAACAACCTCACGCATTCGCTGCAGAAGGTCAAGATGCCTCGAGAAGCTGAGATATCGCTCAACGAGCGCGAATTTATCAAGCAGGCACTGCAGGAGCAGATACGAATCGACCGACGCGCATTCGACGCCTTCCGCCCACTCGAGCTCACTTTTGGAGAAGAGTATGGCGTCGCAGATGTTCAGTTAGGCAAGACAAGGTACACGAATTACTGGGGGTTCATACGCGCAAGCTGACACTCTTCAGAGTCATTGCGCGCATATCAGTAGACGTGACGACACCACTACCAGAGCGCAAGTTTGATGGCATTTTTCAAATAGTCACGGAGTTTTCTCCAATGGCTTCTCCAGCCTTTGAGGTTGGTCGGTATGTTGTTCTAAATACCTACCAGACCTTTGGTATATCTGACTGAAAAATTAGTCCTACAGATGCCGAAGTCATCCTCTCGCGCATCCTCGAGAAAGCCATCCGTCGCTCCAACGCTCTTGACACCGAATCGCTCTGCATCATCGCTGGCTTAAAGTGCTTCGCTCTCCGCGCCGACGTACACATCATCGACCATGACGGCGGGCTGATCGATGCATCGTGCATAGCCGTCATGGCTGCGTTACAACACTTCCGAAGACCAGACGTACAAGTAGAAGGCGAGAAGGCGACCATTCTCAGTGTGCGCGAGCGCGAACCCATCCCGTTGTCGATCCTACACCAGCCGCTCTGTGTTACCTTTTCATACTTTGAGGGAGAGATATTTTTGGTGGATGCAAACTTGGCTGAAGAGCAAGTCAGGCAGGGAGAAGTCATTCTCACAATGAACAAGCACGGCGAACTGTGTCAGATTGCGAAGTACGGAGGAGCGACAATAAACCCGCTGGCTCTGCTGAATTGCACGAACGTTGCTCTGCAGAAGGTCAAGGAGATGAACGCGTTCATCCAGAAAAGGCTTGATGAAGACGCCAAAGAAAGGGATGCTGGGGGACTAATGGCAGAGCTCAGCGCTGAGAATGCCAGGTGAGACCTCGCACGAGGCAGAATAACCTTACAAAAGACGACACGTCTGGCCAACAGCCAGTCTGCGATGCTTCCAAATACTCGCATCTTGGGCGCCGCTCAACTTCGTCCGAGCATTCCATCCAAGAGGAAAGTTTCTAGAACAGGACGCACCGCGAGCCCACTGATGATGTGGGTCGGTGGTCGGCGGCCCCTGGAAACGCTACTGGGAACATCGAAGACCAGATCGCGAGATGCGAATTTAGAAGTAGCATGCGAATGTGGCTACGGATCGAGAGTTCATGTCAGGATGATGATCTATATACAGTCGTGTAAATAAATCCATTATGAACTCTACTTGGTTAATTGTATCTCGACCTGCCATCGCAAAGTATGCTCCCATCTTCAAACCCAAAGTTCTAGATTTTGGAGTTCACAAAGCGGTGACGTAGCTGACAAAGCCCGACCGCGTCGCGCGACACCTCGGCCCACGCTCCCTGCATTTCCACGCGACACACCAACACCTTAATCGAATGATATCTCCACATGCTCATTACCAGCGGACAAATTGTTGTCCTTCAAGCGGACCGAGATATCTGCAGTGATATATAGCTAAGATCCCGCATCATGGCTACTACATTGCAGTTTCAAAGTCGCTTCACTCCAATCTTGAACATTGCGTCATCAAGGGTCTCGCCGCATTACGTCTTCTATCTTAGATACCAAGCATCCGGCGCATCCTCACAACGTCTCTTCTCTCCACACTGAGTCTCTTCACCCAGACTTTCTACAATTCACATAGCCCAGTATGTCGTCGAAACTTGTACCCTCCGACCCCGCCAGCGTTATGGTCATTCGCGACGTTGTTCCGCGCGTAATCACCACTCTATCGGTCCCATTCTGGAGATTTGGTCGCGTGAAGATTGGCGGAAGAGGAACGATCGGTATGATATGCTCCATTAATGGTTTATAGACAGTAGCTAACGCGCAAGAACAGTGCGCCTCGAATCCGGTTCTCTCGCCGTCTTCTCTCCCGTCGCATTGACCGAGGATGTCAAGCAGAAAGTATCCGAGATGGGCGAAGTGAAATACATCGCCGCCCTAGACGCAGAGGTATGTATCAAGCCCATCAAAATGTCCAGAATCATCGCTAACATTATACGCAACAGCACCACATCTTCCTCGGCCCCTGGCACAAGGAATACCCCAACGCGCAAGTCATGGGCCCCGACGTCCTCCCCGAAAAGCGCGCAAAGCAAAACGACGAAAACGTCCCCTTCTCGATCCTCTTCAGCGCCGACAAACGCGTCGAGACCATCTCCCCCGAATTCGACGCAGAGTTTGATTGGGAATACGTCCCCTCGCACGTCAACAAGGAACTCGTTTTCCACCACCGTCCCACTCGCACTCTCATACAGGCTGATCTCATGTTCAACCTGCCTGCTACCGAGCAGTTCAGCAAGACGGGGGTTGACCCGAATAGCGGCATCTTGACCAAGATCTTTGTGGCGCTGCAGAGTACAAAGGGTGATGCGAAGTGGCAACAGAGGACTATTTGGTATGGAACTAGTGCTAGTGATAGGAAGGGCTTCTCGGCTAGTATGGAGAGGATCAACAAGTGGGGGTTCAACAGGATTATCCCTTGCCATGGCGATGTGATGGAGGGAGATGGCAAAGGCATCTTTGAGAAGGTCATGAGGTGGCATTTGGATGCTGCCGCGCAGGGCAAGAAGAGTACCTGAGTGTGTTGACAGAGATGATGGGGCGTTTGGGGTGGTGCAAAAGCGAGATGTGTACATCGAAGAAAAGCGTGGAGTTGAGGTGGGTGGACGATGATACCAGTGGATGAGGGGTTGCTCTTTCTTCATATGTACTAACAACATAATTATATCCTTCATCCTTGCCAGCAAGAATACGTCATGAATAATCGTATCGTTTACTTCCTACCCACCCAATCCGCCATCTCAATATCGTCAGCGAAGTTCTGCTTCCTGACATCTCTCCCGTCGTAGCCACCCTTCATCTTCTCCTTCTGACCAGTCCAGATCGACGCAATACCAGCCAAAGTATAAGGGTTCTTATCAAACCTTGCCGCCGGTGCCGGAGGCTGGACCGCTACAGGCGGCGTTTGCTGGACCGGATCTTGATACCCACCCGCCGTGTCTCCAGGCTGCTCGAAGAGGATATCCTCACTATACCCCGGATACCCATACGGCGAAGCTTCCGGCTCCCGCCGTTCGTGCGGGTGGTGATGCAGATGCGGGTGCGGTGAATGCAGCTGCGGAACATGAACATTTGGATGCATAACATGATCCACAACCCCCATAACCGTCTCCTTCACCCCATGCGCCTCCCCATTCTTCCCTTCTCTCTCCTTCGCCTCATTCGGATCTTCGTACCCCCTCCCTCCCTTCTTTCTCGCCATACCCTTATTAAACTTCCCGTACCTCGCCGCTTTAGCCATATAGTACGCGATACCCAGGCCCACGCCTAACAAACCTACGACTGGCGCACACGTCATAAGTAGCCAGGCTACATGCAGCAAGAGGTCGTTCAGCCAGAGTTTCTTCTTCGATGTCTTGTAGTCTGTGTCTGAGAGATGCGCAACGAACCAGGGGATGTGATACACAAGCGATTTCTCGAGGAGGGCGAGGGTAAGCGTGGTTTGTATCGTAAGGAGGGAGAGGCATGCTACGCGTGACCAGTGGGCTACGAGGGGTTTGTTGATCGGGCGTGATTTGAAGGCTGTCCAGTGTTCTGTGTAGTGTGCGAGGGCGCGCTCGTGGAGGTCTGGTGGTGGGGGTGGTTTCGGCTCTTCTTCTTCCTCGTCCGCTGGCAGGCCTTGCAGCCTTTCTCTCTCTTGATCTGCGTTCTTTTCCTGTGGCTTTTCGTTCTTGGTGAAGTAGAGGAGGCTTATTGGGGCACGCCATAGGATGAAGAAGGGGAGGACGATGGCGAAGAGGACAAGGCTGATGAGGATCTGTACAGTGATGGTGAGGGCTTTGATCAGCCGGTCAGGCTGCATGATGGTAGGCGATCGTATTCGGAGGTAGCTTCCAGAGTTCTGGACATATTGGGTGTTGCAAGATGTAGGGATATCTCAGCGAGTAGCATGGGCGCGTGAAGACTACTTGTGATGAAGTTGGAAAGGAACTTCGTGGAAGACAACTGGTGAAGCAGGAGAGCTGTCTTCACGATGCTGTACCATGTGACGTGCCCCATCAATACGTTATTCTATACTCTGGTGGTACATATTCCAGGCCTAGCCCTTCAAAGACCTTCTTCTCAGCATCTTCGGGCGTACCCTCGACTCCATCGGGCCCTTCCAGCATTATGGCTTCGCCGTTACTTCGACTTCGGATACCGCTGCTATCGAACTTCCAGCCTTTGATGGCTTTCGCATACCGCCTCAGATCACGCTGAAAGGTGGTACTGCCACTCCAACCCAAGACTGCGCAACCAACTGACCGCCAAGGTGCAATGATGATGTCAACTCGGCGGTGGATAGCAGGGTTCTTCGCTCTTGGATCCTCCGCAAGATCCTCCTCACGAGTAGGCCACGCTGGATCTTGCCACACCACGAGTGCTTTGTCAAGCGTATCAAAGCCCGCGCCGGCTCCCTTTGCAGATCGAAGAGGCAGCGCATGCTGACCACGATTAGTGTTCTTCAAGCTCATCGTAAGAGTGTGAGTAATCCACTCAGATTCCTCCAATGACTCGACAATCTCTCGAACCAAGCCCGCTGTACTCTCTAGCTCCGGGTGCGACACGATCAAGTCCACGTCACCAGAGTCTGTCTTGCCACGTCTGTACCCGCCCACAATCGTGACAGTAACGCGTTCGTCGCGAAGCTTCACAGCGTGTTCGCGAACAACAGCGGCAATTTGCTCAACTTCAGGGCCCGGAATAGAGACCAAGAATTCGTCATAGTACTTGACGCCGATTTGCTGCACTCGGTCCAGGTCGTTCCAGCCAAACTCGATGATATCATCCAATTCAGTCCAGTGGTTGTTGTAATAGAATTGGCGTGCGGTCTTGGCTCCAACGCCCCATATGTTGTAGAAGGAACGCAAGACTTTCATTGATTCGTCGGCCTCGAAATCTTCGACTGCTTGAATCTTGCCAGTGTTCTTCCACTCTACAAAAAGAACTTCAGTTTTCTCGTCACAACCCGGTAGCTGAGCGATCTCTCGGGGGTGACTAAGTCTGTACGGATATGCTGCGATAGAAGCGATAATGGTTGAGTAAGCACGAACACCTATGTCGTCGTCGATCAAAGTTCGAGCAGTCCTTATCTTCCTGAGCTGGTCGAGGAAGTCTTCATTGGGTCCGTTACCAGGTGTGAAGCGCTGACATGAGTACTTGACGCCTTTCTTCACCCATTCGGGTGCTGCAGGAACATCACTGTCATCGCCTTCGTACTCACTGGTCGTTTGCTGCAGTAGATGTGCAGCTTGTGAAACATACGAGTGACCGACAGGCTGGGAAGAGCGGGCGAAAGCCTTTCCATCGAAGCGATTAGAAGTGTGATTTCCGAATCTTTGCGGCTGATAAGTGCTTTTCCTCGTGGTCGTCTTCATGTCTAGTTTCGCGCGATCTAAGATGTCTTGCACCGGATGTGGTCGTGTTGCCAAGAGTGTCTGAGATGCCGGCGCTACTTTTGTGTGCGCGCCGAAAATGTCTTTGATAGACTTCTTATTCAATGATTTAGGCCGTTTCATGACTTTACCCGTGTAGACCAAGTTGTCTCCCAATGGAAGTAGATGACCTGCAGTTACACAAGCTTCTACCCAGTCGAACTTGATAACCCAGATGGTATCGTAAGACGAATCCTCGAACAGTAGCGGAACCTGTGAGCCATTGTCGGATCTCGAGGGGGACGAGAGAGGAACGTGGTGCTGCTCAGTCTCAGAGCCGATGCCAGCCTCTTCCTCAGTGGTAGAGTCTCCCTCGTCCGCAGATAACCGACCTGACGTTTTACCAATCCTTCGCCTCTTGTTGGAGCGATCCTGTGCCTTCACAGGACTAGCTGGCCGTTTCGGCGTGACAATCTCCTGAACAACCAGCTTTCGAGCCCTCAATTCGAACTCGGCCCTTCTCTTTGTACCCACCTTCCCAACAAAGACCTTTGCCCTGGAGACATCGGTAGTAAGCGGTGCGTCGTACTGGCGCAACGTTTCCTTGAGCAACTTCACTTCCTCGTCCTTCAGATGCGCAGTGAAGATTGCAATTGGCGGGAGTCTGCTGAGGTCGAGGGCCTGTGCGGATATCGTGGATGTTGGTGATAGCGATCCTGGGCGTATTGTCTGGGAAGAGTGTCCATGATCGTCCATATCGGGGTATTTTATGCTGAACCGATTCCTCCAAGCAGGGGTTGTCAAGACGTGTCCAAGAGACGCGTTCTGTGCCTTCGGCTGTCTGGTTGAGATGTCCAGCTGATCATTGTTTGAATAGCCAAGATAAGCGCGATGTTATGTGATGTCTGGGTAACTGTCCAAGTGAGTATACAGTCTTCCCAAAGTCGTGCGGCGGTGATGACGTCCGCGTGATGTGGAGGCTGGGAGTGTTTGCTCTGTTTGCCTTCAATCGCTCTTGCACGCCCGTGCGTCAAGTAGCGCTACGCTAGTGTTAGCGCCCGCGTTTTGACGCGCAATCCATCTGCTACATTCGTTTCATCATGTCCAGCCCAACGTCTTCCAGGCTAAATCTCCGGAATCCTCCAGTTCAACCGCCCGGCGTGCCTGTATCAGACTTGACATCCGCAGACAACTTGGCATGACGGTGGCGTCCCAGGAATCATGCGAGTCGAAACAGCACGCCTAGCCACAAAGCCGGCGATCGAAACACACTGATCTAGATCTAGAAGCTGGGGAAACATCAGCCGAGTAGTCAAGGCCACAGGCTGGGGGGCGCTGATGCACGTCTGGCTCCCCTCAACGGATCTCTGGTTCCTTCCAACTACATCGGGCAGGTCCTTCAGGCGTACTGGGCCCCAGCGTCTCGAAGTTATGCAATGGTTCGATGAATCCGCACCAGCGTGTTCAATGCGGTCACAACTGCGCCAACACCACGGGCTAAAGATTGCGCGAACATCCCCTCCCTGCCGTTGATCGTTTCTCTTGGTGCGCGGACCGCTGTTTCGGAATAATTGACAGGCAGACGTAACCTCTGACAGGCCTTCCACCTACCGGTTGGTGGATATATAGTGAGCTTGTCTGGATAAGCTGCGGGTGATGATGCACTTTGGACGAACCGGTCTTCGTTCGCTACTACCCCGGCCGTTCTTGCAGCGGATATACATGTGGATCGCCACTCATTAACGTGCTTTATCTCTTCTTGTTGCATACTTACTCGGGCCTTCGACATTCTTCTCTTCATTCATTTCGCTACTTTTGACAAGAGCGCTGGTCTCTAAGGGTAGCTAGACTACGCCTATTCAGCTTTGACAGCAACCCATTTCGATCTCACTGAACAGCTACACCACCCACCCGGCATTCCTTCGTTTACCACACCAAAAATGCGCTCCTTCATCATCATGGCCATCGTGGCCCTGATCGCTTTCGCGTCTGCCATGCCCATATCACCTTCGGCGCCCCGCCTCCAAAAGCGAGCTGAGCAGTATCGCCTTCAAGGACTGCGAGAGGTATGTTGCGCATGTCATTGAATATGAAAAGGATATGGTGACTGACTGTCATAGTTTGAAATCGCCGAACGTCTCTCATCTTCCGCATCATCAGAGGTTGACCCATGGCGCATTCGATTAAACCACAAATTCCATGCCCTCTTTGATCCAACACCAACCGACGAAGAAGCCTCTTATGACGACGACCAAGAGGACTTTTCTGGAGACGTAGCACCGGGATCTGTGGAAGCGCCACAAGTCCTCCCCAAGGCTTCAGAGGAAGACAGTCTCTTCGACCGTCTGTGCGCCATGTTCCACCGCGCGGAGAGCAGCTTGGGATACGAAGGCAAGGAGCTTGATGTGCGCCGACCTGGAGGTGTGAGGGACTGGAAGCGATCTTATGGAGGCTTCCGACGATAGAGTGCAATCCAAATTTTCATCACTTCACCCCATGAAATCCTGAACGAGACAACTGGTATATTTCTAACTGAATCCGTGGTGAACCCAAAGCCTATAGCCCACCTACCCAGATGATGTTCGCGCCCGCTGAGTTGAGTAATAATCCAAAACAATGCCGCCAATCCTCAAGCGCCTGACTAGTTACCCAAAAGACGTGTGTATGACTAGACACCCATGGTGAAATCATGTTCTATACCTGGAGTCACACTGTGGGCTGTTAGAAGGTGCTCATTTGTGCAACACGGAGTAAACTTACCTGGCCATGAACTTCAAGAAGACGACAAGATACTGGTCCACGCGGATAGCTACCTCCTCGTCGCCGCCCTCACCGAGAACCTCCCAGTCGTCCTTGCCCTCATCGCCGTCCTTGTTCTTCGCTTGCTCAGTAAGCTTGAGCAGCCGTGTATCATCGACAAGCGCCTCCATACCGCTGTCGAGCTTGCTGACATCCTTGCCGGCTTTAAGCTTAGCGAGTCGCAGCTTCAGAGCAGCGTCGGCGCGGTCAAGGAGGACTTTCATGACGGATGCATGTTTGCACGGATGTACTGAGGCGGTCTTGAGAGGGTTCTCAAAGAAAGGGAAGTCCTCGATGGTGACGGTCTTGTCCTTGTAGTCTCCGACAATGTCCTCCATCATTTCTTGCGGTTTGAGCGGAACGGACGTGGAGCCGTAGCCCGAGAGATACAATCGCGGTGTTCGGTAGTGGGCGGAGTATGTGATGTAGAGGGTGTATGTGCGGAGGGGTCTATTGGGTGTCAGTCAGTCTGTAGAGCGCTGGCAGCAGGCGGGCCAACTCACGCTTTTGTATTTGAGTCGGCCTTGGGGTCTCTTATGATGGCTTCCTCGTCGTCTTCGATATCCTCCATGTCGGGTATCTCGTCATCCTCCTCTGCCGCGCCTAGGTTGCCGCTCTCATCGACCGTCCGCACGTCGCGCACCTTGGCCTCCTGGCTCGCGGCCATGCCTCCGGTCCTGAGCCAGCCGTCGTCGTCGGTCGCGCCTTCCCCAGCAGCGAAGCCGTCCCTCACTATGGTCTCATCTTGGCCCGCCTCCCCCGCAAAGTTGTCGTCGAGCCGTCGGTGGCAGGGCACGCCGCGCGTTACCAGGAACTGCTTTCCTTCCGGCAGGTACGACACGCGCTTTGCAGGCGATGACGCGTCGGCCCACTGCCATGAGGGGAACTTGAAGACGAGGAAGTCGCCAGCGAGGACAAACTCCTCGGGCGTGATCTGACCCGTCTCGCGGAAGGTCGATGTGTGGCTGATGGCGGCGGTCCGCTCCCGGAACGTGTCGATGTACGACCTGACAAAGTTGTAGGCCATGTTGGTTGCTCGTGGTTGGTCTGATTTGCGTGCGGAGTTCGAGGCCGTGGTTGAGCGGGTAGCGATGTTGTGTCGTGTATCTGTACGGTACTTGGAGGGGCGCGGGGTGGAGGCTGCCTTGCGCCGCATCGGTCCCGCGCAGCCTCCACCATCGTCCCAAGCCGACGCTCCTCACCCCCACTTGTCAGCCGACAACACCCAACATTCGTCGCCGTCATCCGCCGCCTGCCTTCACAACACTTCATCACGCTTCGATTTCACATGACGATAGCGCACTCAGGGTCCGAGACTGTCACGCACCTGAGCCGTGACACAGTGGCGCAGAGCTGTCTAGCGCTTGAACTATCCATGGATACGCTGCATGTGTAACAGAGACCAGCCCTTGAAGCCTCATCAAGTATGACATCAGTCATTGCAGCATGCTGCTTCCCGCCTATATGCAATAGGTTCGGAGCTCACACCGTGTCTCGATACAGCTGCGCTCGGAGAGCCCTACTAATTCATAGTCATCCGGAGGGTGCGTGCACTTCGACTGTCGATATTCGTAGTACCGTCTGCAGGTATCCCTAAGATTGGTATCTAATTCCGCATACAAATCGGTATGCTACCTGCGCAGGCGAAACTCGTTTGCGTTGACCTACTGCCTTGAGCTGTGGAGATACACAGAAACACAGACAGGTGTCAGGACGCCCACGCTCGTGTGCGAGCGTCTGGAACTCGTAACACTCATGACAGATATCGTTACGAAATTTGGCAGTGCCAGATGTAGTCGACGGAGCAACAAGGCAAAACCTTGTCGCAGCGCAGCAAGACACGCCCTCGATTCGGTTATGTTACCTCTTGAGCGACAACTCCATGACCAAGCGCGCTCGTGTTACCCAACATCGACAGGTTGCCTAGCTTTAGGCTCGTTCTTCGACAGGGGGCGTTAGTGTCGACACTGAAGGGCGTGCTCCATGTCTGCGTACTGTCGTACGCCGTTGCCTGAATGCAACGGAAGATCCCCCTGGCATTCCCTCTAGCCTCGAATCTAGGGCTAACTTGAACGTCATAGCTCTCCTAGATGGGCCCTTCTAACAGATACGTACGACTGTTCGTTTTCTGAGTTATCAATTTATCGAGCTGAAGTAAATCGATGCCACAATGCTTCATAGGTAAATTTTGTCCAGAAACGATCAGTACGGAATTACAAGGCAAAGAAAATGGACCACATGCTCACCCAAGCCCTTCTAACCCCGTTCGGCGCTCACCGCATTCATTTGCTTCGAACGCACCCTTTTCGACCTCGAAACATACGACAAATCCTTGTCTGCTACCAAATGTTGCATGGGCTCTCATAGTCATTTCTCTCTTTGGTGCAACTTCAAAGTGAGTTCACAGTGTCTTTGCTATGAGGCTAGTGGCTCATGCACATGAACGTAGGTTTTGATAGACTACGACATGAATACCAACTGACAAATCCATTAAGGTTCAGTTGATGTACGGCAACCCACAGCCGGTTCACAGTCAACCCTGAACAGCCCCACATGTTCACATACGAGCTCGGGCTGCAGAAAGCGTATCCTTACCGACGTGGCGATCAGATCAGTGCTCAACAGCCGCTATAGCCATTGGGAATTCCAGCATGTGTAACGAATCTACCCGCGACTTCCGCTTATGGCAGATTGTACCCATCGTAGCAACGGCTGGGTGCCTTTGCACGTTTGGGAGAAATCATTGAACCACGCTCATTCCAAATGCAAAGTCAAGCACGCGGGAACATCTAAAGAGCTTCGTACCATATCGCAGACTGTCCATACATGTCGCATCGATTGGAAACCAAGACCATGGGAAGTACTATCGGCCGGCAGTGCTCGTATGTCTGTACCACTGAGTCACCAAAGTAACAGTGACCGATACATTACCCTCAAAAGAAATATGCTCTCAAAGAGACGGAATGGTCACAGCGGCAAAATACCCACAAATCTTCAAGCCAAAAGGCTGAGCCATTCGCGGAGCGTCAACGCCGTGCTGCCAACAAACGCACCCACAGCATATCTCAAGAAACTACGATGTACAGCGTCTTTACCAAAGCTTCAGCACTAGCCACAACACCTTCAACACTTGTGGCATGGCAGAAACAGCGCCCAGTCGATACGAGCCACTTGATGCATCTATTGAGACTGTACCGATGGCCTAATGTCGTGTCGCCTCAAGCGTCTCCCTCTGTCTATAAAGGCCCCATGCTCGACAGCGGACTGAGCATATTTCATCCGATGACAAGGACATTGCAACTATTCCTGACCTCATCACGAACAGCATATGCACTTATCTCTCGACCTCACGAACGCCACGCCGAAATTTCGAACCTACATATCGCTTCTCACAACCTGTCATTGTTGCAATGACGGATCCCAGTACAGTAAACGATCCTTCGCAGCCGCGATGCGGAGGTTGACGCCGACGAATTATACCGCCCAGGCCCAAGTATGCATCAGGCTTATCTTTTGGAGGTCGACGTCGCTGATGTAATGGTGCGAAACAGTCATTGCAATTGTTCGGTGATCTGGACCACGTGCTACACAGTCGCACGCATAGCAATGTCTTCATCAGCTTGACGATTTTATCCTACCAACAGCCAGCCGCTTGACAGAAGGGGTACCAAACACCGCGACAGCACCATCGCCAACACGCGATCAGCATATGCGGGGCCTATCTTTCTATCCCGCACATTTGCGTTGCATGATGGCATATTATTGAGTTCGCAGCCCTCGGTATCACCTTCTGCACAAAATCAAGCTCTAAGTACAGTCGCTCCAAAATTTGCATCTTTTGTCCTCTCTCCAACCGCATTTTTACCACGATGTTACTCATAATAACGAGCAATATCACCTTTCAACCTGTGTATTCTCAGTCAAGGAACATGCCAAGTGGTACCTTCCCTTGCTGTGGTTGGAAACATGTCGTGTCGCCAGGCTTTTAGCATTCCCGCGCCGCGGAACGCTCACCAGTGACACGAACACGGGCAGATGGGCATTCTACCACAATACCATCGAGCACATGATAACGGTTCGCGCCTCGGTGGGGACTTCCGAGAACAACGGTTGGCTTTCGTTTTCTCTGCTCGAAAAATGAGCACTGGATGAAACCCGCACTTCTCCAATCAAATGGTGACTCCCGCGCGTACAGCATCCGCTTCTTCGTTGGCAACGTTACTATGCGACATGCGGAAATTCGTATCGGAGCCGACTTCGGCAGGCAACGAGGATGCTGTGAGCTGTGAATTTGCGATCAAGGAACATGTCTCGATACTCGCCTTTCTCCGTATCCAAAGAACTTGCGGCAGAGTGAGTCACCACGACAACGGCAACGATAACAATGCCCCAATGATAGCCGCATATTGCGATTCCCGTCGTTCAAAGGCAGTATCACTAGCCCCCACGTAGCGGGTATAACACTTACAATCATAGTACAAGGCAATGGAATTAACATGGGCCCTGTACGATGCTAGCTAGAAGAGTAGGAATGTGGCTAGCGGCTGAGACCGGGATACGCTCACGACTGTTGCAATTGTGTGGCATATGCGAGGCTGTAGTCCGTTTTAGTGGCATGTGAAGGCCTCAGACGGTGATGGTTCAAGGAGTATGGGGAACTTCCACCTTCTAAGAATGGCTTGCGCTTCGAACACGTCCTGCACCGCAGTCTTCGAAGCAGCACCAGTCCAAAGCATTTTCATCTTTCACATGAAACCGGCGCATAGCTATTATTGTCCAGCTCACTGACCAACTAGATTTCTCCCAGATCGTTGCTCGGTGCATCCCCCCAACATGCACTGGAAAGCTAGGTGAGCGGGACCTGTTCACCCATCTAACATCCTAAACCTTGACATCAAGGCTGAAGCTCGAAGCCGACCACCTCGCCGGCCCACCCGTGAAAGCCTCCGTACCAATTTGGTATACTACCCATACATTAGCATCAAGTACGCTCCATTCGCATCGGAAAACCTACCAATCAGGTTCTGCGTGCTCGCAGGAAATTGCTGAGTCTGCTCCAGATAGTTGAAGAACAACTTGATATCCGCACTAAAGCTCTTAATATCACTATTTCCAGCCCGCACAAAACTGTACACGCGCATCGATCCGTTGTAACCGGTGTAGAGATCAAATGTGTATCCAGCGATGGTGACGGTTGCTACAGGAGCTCCAGCTTGTGAGATGGGCCATACGCCTCCCAGCCGACCGAGCCTTGTCCACGTTAGTCTTACTTTCTGAATCGTTGTCGCATGTGCTAAGAACTTACCAGACCATGAGTTCATAATCCCCACTGCTGTTGACATGATTCGGATCCGCGGCAGTAAAAACATCATACGCCACATTCGCCCTCACATTGCTAGTCTGATTATACGACCACTCCACCTGCGTTGGCATGCTAGTAATCTGCGAGATCTTTTGCCCTTTGGTCAGGATTTTACCGGCGTAGGCATAGCTCTTTACGTTGTCCTGCCCGCCTTGCCATACCCAATCTGTGCTCCATTTGATGCCGCCGGAGCTGGTGCTGCCTTCGTAGTAGGTGCATTGGGAGCCGGAGGTGGCGGCGTCTTTGCCCCAGAGGTTGTTGAGGATTTCGTAGCCGTTGGCTGAGTGGTAGGCGTATTGTGTGCAGAGGCTGACGGTCTCTTGAACGGAGGTTGCGTCGCGGTTGTTGATGGTGGGTGTGCCGACTGGAGTGGCCGAGACACCGGCCAGAAGACCGGCGGAGAGGGCGATGAGGAGTTTCATGGTGATTCGACGAGATTTGTACTGAAAAAGGGACACGAATTTGTCTGATTAGTGATACACGGTTTTGTAGTTCATTTTATACTAGATCTACACATAGCTTAACTTCATCCTCGGATACACTTCAGCCGCTCCATATGAGATGTTGTAATTGCCCGATCAGTTGACAAGCGCGATGATCAAAGAGGCGTCATGGCACAAGACTAAGCTATGTCGGGGAAGCCTCCGTCAGCCTCCTGATGAGGTACGAACGAAATATCGACATGGATGTTTAAGTCGCGGTCGAGGCAGTAGAGCCGGTCCACTTTGAGTGGTGTATTTAACCTTATGAAGCTTCATATATGCTAGTGTGACCGGGTGTTGAACTCGGCACACATGCGGGGTACCTAGATATAGCAGCAAAATGTATTGCAAGAGCTCGGTATGTTCCGAAGACAGGATCAAACATCAAAGAATGAACATTCACTATGCCGAAATCAGGAAACGGTGGATTGTGTAGTAACTTGCTCTCCACACGTCTAGCAGCCCCGTCTATTCCAATCGTGCAACATGGATCCCTCACTTTGTTCCTCGCAGTAAGATACTCCACGGAATGCAATACCCCCCCAAAGTGTACCCCTATTGCCCTATAGCAAGCCAAGCAAATGCAAAGCAGCGACCAACAAACTCAATATATGCCTTGTGTGCGGTACTGGAAAGTATCGTAACTGATGGTCTCGTCAGTGAATGTCATCTACAGGTATAGAGTAAAGGTCAGACTTACAGTCGGGTATAATAACTCCCCACGCTCTTCGCAACGAGTTCCTCGACGAACCCCTCCGCCTCCTCCCTACTCAAATGCAACATGAGACGCGCTCTCAGACTATTCGTCACACTCGCCGCGCCAGCAGCAAAGCATGGCATGCTGCTCTGTTTGCTCATCAAATCGACCAGCATGATCAGGCGCTCTGCATCTTTCCTGAGTGCTTGGAATGCCTTCTTGCACAGCGTTTTGAACTCGTCGAACGCCGGGGATGTCACACCGCCTAGGACGTCGACGTAGTCTTGCGTTAGTTTGAAAGGCGCGGCTTCGAAACCCATAGACCCGGGGCTATTGGAGAGCATGAAGCCAAAGTCGATGTGAATTATGTGGCCCATGTTGTCGATGAGGAGGTTGCCGTTGTGGCGATCCTTTAGTTGCAGAACGTAGCATATCATGCTGTAGGCGGCTAGGGAGCGCGCGAAGCATCCTACACCCGCAATGTAAGCTTCCGAGTCTGGCTCGCCGAATGTCTTGAGCCAATGATCTTTGAGAGTTGCGATGCGTTTCCGGGGGTTGGTGCCTGCTGCTATGCTAGCAAGTGTCAAGCTTCGTTTCAGGGAGTGAAGGGATACACCGTTGGTGATGGTCTCGATGAGTCCGCAGGATTCGCCGGTAACTAAGATGCGCATCCGTTTTGTCCAGACGGGCACGTTTGCTTCTTCCCAGATCTTGGTGCATACTTCGATGAGCTGGCACGCAAAGGCTTCTTGACGCAGGTCGGCTCCAGTCTTGACAATGACACTGATCAGGTCCCAGTTCTTCATATTGCCATATGGAGAGGATCGCCGTATTCGCTCTCGCTTGGCGCTCCATTCTTCGCCGAATGTCGCGGCGCTGGGATCATCACGATCGCCCTTCCGCTTCATACCACCAGTTTTGAGATCATTCTCCATGCGAGCTGCACCCGCACCGGTGTTGGTCGCGACGGCCAAACCATCCTCAAGCTCCTCTGGCTCGGCACTGATTGCAGCTGGATCCGACTCTGCCATGATCGTGTCGAAAGTAGGGCCCTGGTCCTCATTTAAGAAGTTTTGCTCTTCCAAGCTCTGCATGCTTGCGATGATCTTGGCCTTGATCGCAGCTACTTCGCCCTTTGGCCGTTTCGCGCCACTCGCCTCGAGCTGTGCAAGCATCTGGGCAGCGGTGCGCATGTGAGTCGCAAGGGCGGAGAAGTCTGGCTGATCAGCTGATTGATTCCGCTGGTTCAGATTCGCGGGGATCGTCATTCGCCTGATTGGACCGGGACTGTTCGACCTGCTGATCTGCGAGTCGGAAGTTCGTGGTGTAGACAAGGTGGCCACAGAGGACAGAGTGTTTGCTCCACTAGAAGACCTGGGGGCTGTGGCTTTCCCATTGGCAGCCGCAGCAGGTAAGGCTACGCGTGCCATTCCGGAAGCAAGGTCGGTATCATCCATATCCTTGATGAGCGAGGTGCTGCCCAGGTCTCCAGTAGCGGGCTCGAACACGCTGTCTGATCCATTGGGTGGCGTGCGGTCGAAGGCAGAATATTCAGCATGGGTGATGTCGAATAATCGTCTCCTCGAGGTACCCTTCTCCAGCATCAGTTTCTCCAGCAGCTGCTGATTCTGTTCAGTGTCTGGATCAAAGTCAAAGTCCTCCTCCAAGACCTCAACCATGAGCAGATACGGTACTCGCTCTGCACTGTTGAGACTAGTCGCTTCCGCGGGGTTGATGCGCACTATGCGGTGATGCTGGCTCTGCGACGGAATCCCATCCTTGAGGGTCGGGGGCGATAATAAGGGTATATCAACTTCAGCCGGCAGGTCCTGGGCGATCAACGCTAGTTCAGCTCTCAGGGCACTCAGCCGCGCGGGCTTCGGCACAACAACCAGGCGGTTGGAGATGTCCTCGAGCGCGCTGAGAAACTGGGTCTCGTTCCGGAAGTAGTTGGATCGCAGTAGTCGTACCTTCTGCGCGCGGGACAAGGCGGTAGGGGAGAGGGGCCTCGGTGGCAGCCCGGGGTGCTTGCGAGAACCATGCTGGAGTGGGCCTGGTCCGAGGCCAGCAGTTGCGGGAGGTGTGGGCAGGGGAGAAGAGGTTTGGTCTCGGAAGTCGGGTAATGACGACGAGCTGAGCCGGGCCTCCGAGGCTATCGACAGCAACGAAGGGCGATGCTGCATCGAGGGGGTCCGTGTAGCAGCTGGCGCCCGTACAGCTGCCTTCCGCAGGTCCTTGGGTTCACGCGGCCGCGAAGACGAAGCCTTGACGGATCGCCCATCCTCGGGGTCGGAGTGCTGCTGCGCTATCCGCTTCTCCTTGGAGCGTGAGGAACTGCCCGTGACGGTCTTGCTCCTCCCGACCTTGGCCGTCTGCACATTGTCCGAGATAATGTCCTCGACGGGCCGTGGCTTCCGCGCCTGCGCAATGGCCAGGGGTCCGGCGTGGACGGGGAGGAAGGGCGCGGCTATGCTCGCCAGGACGAGGCTCGACAGCACCGTGACGGGCAGGACGTTCTCCTTGATCTTCTCGCGGCGCTGGGGCTCGGCGGACCCGAAGACGATGCGCTGGACGCGGTTGTAGATGCGGCGGCACGTCTTGAAGGCAATCGAGTTGGGCGCGCTGGCGAGGTCGTGCAGGTACGTCTGGAACAGCCAGAAGGTCAGCAGCGCGCCGTTGACCGACTCCTCGCACAGGTCGATTATGAATTCCTCCAGGGCCATGGACTCATTGTCGATGCTGATGAGCAGGTGGCAGAGCCTGTGCCCCGCGTGTGTAAGCTAGCTGTCCATGTCTCGTCGAGGTGGGCAGGCGGCGACGTACTGCGGGAGGAAGAACTCGAGCTCCTCGTAGGCGAACTGGCGCAGCTTCGAACAGAGCACATAGTGGATTCCGACGTGGTCTGCATACCGGCTGCGGTCATGGCCATGGTCAGCAACGGGCCCCAATGCGGACGTGGGTGGAGGTGAAGGGCGCTGCGTGCGGCGGTGCTGCGGGCAACGGTGGCTTCGGGGCACATGGGACAGGGACGGGGAGGGACGGGGACTCACGCAAGGTATGCTACTGCGAGGCTCGGATCTTGGTTGAAGTGCTCAGATTCTATAAAGCGCTCTAGCAGATTCCAACTCATCTGGGACGGCTCATTGGGGCTCAGGACGGGTGGAGGGCGACGGCATGCGGTGAAATGCTCAAAAGGGTCGCATACGGAAAGATGGGGCGCGACAGGGTTCAGCGGGCGGAGCTGCTCATCTCCGCCGCCTGCGTGATAGATAGCCTAGCAATGCGACATCCACTGTATTACTGACTAATCGACTACTGCTTTCACTATGCTTCGTCCAGTTCCGCCTTCATCATAAAGAATAATCCTGCAACAATAACAAATACCCGCAGCCAACGCCGTGCATTTGACTTTTGGAATAAGCCCAACCCTCGCGCGCAGTGAACAACATATCGTACACCGGGGAATATATACAATACACGTGCAGTCTAGTCCGCAGCGTGCAGGTCGACAAAGATGTTGATTGCGGCCACCAAGACTTCAGCAAAAATGAGAATGATGACGATCCACTCGAGCAATTCACCCTATATCGGTCAGCGGATGTACGGCAAAAAAGCACAAGTCGGATACTTACGTGGGTGACGGTTAGCTGATCTTTCAAGACAGCAAGCAAGTCTCCGATGACATTGAGTCGCTCGGTCAAGAGACTAACTCTCTGGTCCATCTCCAGATAGCTTCTCACAGCTTGATACACCGGGTCTAGCTGCGGCTCTGCCCACATGAGCTCGGGCGCATCAAGAACCGATCCTTGCAGATGGATACTAATGCGGAGAATGAACAATTCTCCAATCTGCATGTTGATCTGCTTCTTGTTCAGGTTGATCTTGCCGGAGCTGGCGATTTCAGCTGGGATGTCTTTCGTCTCGTCGATAGTGTTGTCGACCAGGTCCTCGAACAGCGACGTCTTGACACTCTGGGAAAGACCGTGACTAATCGCTAGCTTGATCATGTAGTTCTTCTTGTCGCGCAGACTGATGAAGTCGTTGTATATCCGGGCCTGGTACTCGCGCGTGTAGTAGAAGTTGAACTCTTCCGTCTCAATCTCATCTTTGCCGAGCTTGTCCACTTCAAACTTGGCGATTTCCTTCAAGAACTTCTTCTCCTCCTGCAGTGTCATGCCCCAGATTACGACAGTGCCGTACTCAAATAAGAATACTTCAGGCGTATGGACGCGTGTGTCGAAGTCGGGCGCGTCCATTTGAGGGTCAGAGTCGGCGTGCGTGATCGACGGCCGTCTGGGACCGATGGCTTGTTCGTTCGCGATATCCGGCGCGTCACCATCGTCGTGCAAGTCGATGAGATCCTGCCTCCGTCTCTCGTTCTCGTGTTCCACCTCAATGGCGCTGTCTGAGAACCTTCTCGGTCTCTCTTCCGTGAAGCCGTCGAGTACGGCAGTGCTACTGACGTCTTCTGGGCCCTTTGTCGATCCGTAGTTGTAGGGCGAGTATATGCATTCGTCGAAGCGCTTGGGCGCCGCTCCTCTGATCTTCTGCTTGCCTTTCAAGAATCGCATCATCTCATCGAGCTTGTACGAGGCCGCAGTACAGTATGCCGTCACCCTGGGCAACCGCTCTCTGTCTGCCTTGCCGAGGCGGGCAGCATCTCTTCGCGCAGTCGGATCCTTTATCCTGGTGTATTGTACATAGACATCGCGTCCACTCTCTTCGTCTTCGGCTTCATCCGCGGCCGGGTCGGGAAGCAGCTTGAGCTTCTGCGCAGTTCTCGTCGTTCGCTGCGGTCCAATCTTGGGCACCGGCGCGGGAGGTATCCTGGCAGGAGCGCCAGAGCTGTTCCTTCTCCGCAGCTTACTATTCAGCGTCGACAGCATGGGCTGCCCGCCCTGGGTGGTGGCAGCATGGCCGGAAGACGAGGCACTGTGCGATAGCGACCGCGACGCTGGTGGTTTAGGACTGGTGGATGTGACGGTTGGGTTAAAGGTGACGGTGCGCTGTGGCTTCGGGGGTATCGCTCGGCTTGAGCTCGACATGGACGAGACCAAGGGAGTCGTTTCGGTGGAGCTGGACGCCATGGCGGCTGTTCGGCCAATTCAACGATGGTGCGAATCAACAGCGAAGGTGAAAGTGTCACTAGAAAGAGAGAATGTCACAGTCGCAGATGCCGCGGAGTTCAGTCGGCGCCATAGACGGGCGTTAGTGGATGCGGTGGGTGACAGGCGCGTAAGCTGTTTGTGTCGACGAGACTTCGAGCCATGACGTTGTAAGGATCTATGCTTGGACTAACGGTCGCAGCACGGGCCTCCCACGTGCAAGAGAACGCTACCTGCATGGCGGCCGTTAAAAACCAACATCCAGGAACCTGGCTGCTGTGCGACTGTCAAGGTTGTTTTTAACGCCTTCGCGCTTGTGCGAGTTTGTACAGAGTTGGCATCCATGGATGCGTTCGCTTCTCAAGGATCGGCATACGGGCACTAATGCATGAAATCGGTTATGACTTTACGCAATGTGCGTAGTCAGGCCTAGAAGAATGTATTAAGGAAACTATAGACTACAACTCGATGATCTCAGTTTCGAGTGAGGGCTTAACAATTTGAGCAGGCTGCTCCTGGTTGACAATGCCAACCCCTCCCAACATAAAACGCCCAAAGTACAACAACGCGTCCAGCATCTCCTCTCCGGTGGGTATAATGTTCTCCTTGGGCAGCAGAAATCCGTAGCTGCCCGTGTCTCGCAGTTTGATCTGGTACGAGTACCTGACTTTCAATTCGTGGTAGAAAAAGTCTAATGCACTGCCGCCGCTCGATTCAATGCGCGGGAAAATGGACTTGTTCTGGCCAGCAATGGCTACGTTGCCTTCGCAGGCTGATGTGACCTTGTATGTTTGGCCTTTGCGGGATACGCGAATAGCTTTGGCTAGACCCATGGCAAGCTCCTCGAGGTCCTCGATTGATGGAGGCTCCTCGTCGCATGAGTAGCTGTATGGGTACAAAATCTGTTGTGAGTACGAGTGCAGATCTAAGAAGCCAATAATGTCAACATTGTTTTCAGTCTCGTTCTTGGCCCATTCGGCAAAGCGCGCTGACTCCGCACCGTCAAAGGGGGTGTTGCCGGGGAAAGATTCACTGCAGGGGTTCGACTGGGAAGCATCGCCGTCCCACTTGTACGAGTAGCTGCGGTCGAGGTCGATGCCGCGACAGAATCGTAGACTGGTGGGTTGGCGGTTCTTGCGCCATAGACGATCGGTCTCCCAGCTGTAGACGTATCCGTCTGGGTTCAGGGTTGGGACGAAGACGAAATCGAACTCCTCCATAAGACGCGTCATCTCACGGTCTTTGCCGTATGCGTTGATGAAGCTCCAGGCCAGGTAGTTGACCGTACTCGTGGATATCCACTCACGGGCGTGGATGCCGCCGGTGACAAGGATGGTTTTCCGGGGCTTGGACGGCTCTTCGTTGTTCGTGGGGTGCACGCCGACACGCAGAGCAGGAATGTCACGGCCTTCGTAGCTAATGCCAATGTTGATGCGGCGGACGTGGGTGGTGAACATGGAGGCCATGAGGCTCATCCAGGGGTTGATGACGGAGAGGGGCTGGTAGTCTTGGAAGAAGATGTTGCCCTTGCCCGAGCGCGGGGACGGCCGGAGATTTGACGAGAAGCGATCGTCATCGCGAACAGGTGTCGTCTCGGTGGACGGGTAGGTGTTGAAGATTGCCTGTGCGAGGCCGAGGTCTTGGAGGAGCGGTTCGTGGGCGTCCTTGAGCGACGGAGGCAGCAGTCCGAGCAGGGAAGGCACGACGTCCTTGGATACGCGCACATCTGCCCAGTCCTCATTGAACTCCCAGACGTCGAGGAAGAGGACGTCTGCTGCATCCGCCAGCGCCGAGGCCTCCTCCGCCGTGCGTATCTTGAACCGCAAGACGACATCTTCACTGTACTGCGCGACCAGCTTGTCACCCAGCGCATCGACAGCAGTGCGCGCGTCTTCACCATCTAGTCTTTTCTGGTCCTCTGGCAGCTTCCATATCCGGCGTATTATCGCGTCGGAGAGCCTGCGCCATGGCCGCGGAGACGCATTGTGGGTCGTAGCAAATGTTCCTGCATCGTACGGGGACGGCGCTGCATCGTGCGGGGCGGCGGCTGCGAGCGAGGGCGCGAGGAGCAGCAGGCTCAGCAGCGCGCAAACGGGCTGGCGCATTCTGGCGGTGGGTGCCAAACGGGCGGAGGCCGAGTATGCGATGCGGTCGTGGCCAGCAAGCGCCGGGAAGGGGTGGAGAAGGCGTAGTGTGCCTGGCGATGCTTGGAAGAAACGTGGGCGTGGTGTGGCTGGTGCAGCTCCAGAGGCGCGCGGCCAGGCCAAGGTTTACGCCAGCGAGCGCTAGGAGGCCTCCACTGCACAGCAGAGAGGACCAGTGCGCTCGTCAGTGCCTTGGTGACAGCTGATCTGCTACCCTAAGGCCTGCGACCTGCTATCCTCCCCCTATACAGCCCGAGACTGTTATTCCCACTACGTGTCTGACGCCGTGCCGGGTCCACGCCATCGATATCTGATCTCACCTCCCCGACTAATCCTAGCAGCACTCCCTCAGCCTTACAGGCGTGCCGCATCCGAGCCATCCTAAGAGACCCCGACACGCCCTTCACTGCCCCTCTCCGCTGTGCCATGTACCGCACCGTGACCCCGTATCTGCCTTCATGAGCTGCTAGTCGGCGCGAGCAGCCATGCCTCTGCGCTCCCTCCGCCCCGGCCGCAGCGAACGAGACCTCAAGCGACGGAGCACCCTCGACCCTGCCGGCTTCTTCCACCGGCGCGCCGACAAGGACACGCGCTTCGACAGGTCGCAAGAGAACCTCGACACGAGCCGCATTGCCGCCTCTGAGGATGGCTTCCGCCCCACGTCCACCGACACGGCGCGGCCCTCGACCGGCCATGATGATGATGACGACTCCCCGCCTTCTCCGCCCGTACAGGAGCACACGCCCAACACCAAGCGCTTCAGTCTGATGCGCTTCCGCCATGCCTCGGACCCCCAGCTCTCTGCCAAGGCAAAGGAACACGCCGCAAGGGACGACGATGCACCGCCCGTTCCTCGCATGCCGGGCACTCCTGCGCGTACGTGTGCGTATTCAATGTCGGAAGTGTGTGTACTGACGTAGAGCCATATAGCGCCCGCCATCATCACCACTGCACCGACCGTGGCAGACCACGAGGACGAGGCCAAGATCGCGCCCAGGCGGAGCAGGATGCAGCAATTCGCCCTGCGCAGGCGCTCCTTCGACCCGACGACGTTTGAGAAACCGACCACGCTGCGAAAGTCGATGGACAAGAAGCGCAAGCCACTAGGCTTCAAGAAGAGCACTGGGGACCTCTTGGACGAGAAGGAGCGCGCGTCGACGAGCAGCCATCGCCGGCCGGACGTGCTTGCCGATTCGCGCGAGTCGGTGGAAAGCGCGAGTTCGCTGGCGCCGCCTGCCACCAGGGCCTCCGAGTCGTCGCGATCAGATGGAAGCTCCGGCGGACACATTTCTTTCGAAACTACCTCACGGCCCTCGCACCCGGCCCGCGTTGGCTCTTCACGATTTGGCTTTGGGCGTCGAAAACAGCGCGCATCCTTATTCCCACTCCCTATGAAGATCGAGCCTCCGCAATTCCCCGACACGGCGCCTGCTACACCACGTGCGTCTACGGGCGCGAGGAGTTCTGCCTCGACCGATCATTCAATCACCGAAAGTCCACCCCTGACCGCGCGTCGTCTCAACTATGGAGAACCTGGGACACAGACGCCACCAGTCCCTTCTGCATCGCAAGTTGCTCTTGCTGCTGGTGCTCTGAATTTGGCCTCACCCGGTTCAGGTACTCTCTTTCGCAACGACTCGTACCGGTCAAGCCGATCCGCCCGCTCCTCGCCAAACAACAATGGTCCTGCACGAATGGGTCTTAGGGGGCGCTCATCCACGATGGGATCTTTGGGCGGGCGGTCCGACGGCGCAGGCTCGCCAACACCACCTGGCGGGCCCAGCGGAAGAACTTCGACCTCCACGGCAGGAAGAAGCAGCTTCAGCAATCTGTTTGGCTTGAGTTCAAGATTTCGTCAGAACTCCGAGCCCCACTCACCCCGGCATGGTTCACCTGCTCACGGGTTTCTAGGAAGCTCAGGCTTGTCATCGCACCAAAACTCGATGAACATCAGCCGGGAAACACTCATTCTACCAGAGCGTGAAGAAGGCGAGACACCTGGACGGTACCTGGAACGAATCGAGGCGAATAACTTCGATAAGAGCGTCGTTGCCAGCTACCTTAGCAAGACCGACGACCCCTTCCTGCTTGCCGTACTTAGAAGCTACATGCGGAAGTTTGCGTTCTTTGGCGACCCAATCGACATGGCGATTCGCAAGTTGCTCATGCAGGTTGAACTACCCAAAGAGACACAACAAATTGACCGTGTCCTTCAGGGTTTCGCCGACCGGTATCACGAATGCAACCCCGGTATCTACATCAACACAGACAAAGCCTACTTCATATCTTTCTCCATTATCATTCTTCACACAGACGTCTTCAACAAGAACAACAAACGGAAAATGCAAAGACCTGACTACATCAAGAACTCGTCCTGCGATGGCGTCTCGGCTGACGTCCTCGGCTGCTTTTACGACAACATTGTCTACACTCCATTCATTCACATTGAAGACGAGGTTGACCTGAAGAACATCACCTCGAAGAAAAGCAAGAGAGTCGCTGTCTTGAAAGGACCAATGAACGATCCGGCGCGGAAAGCTGCGAAGGAGCCCATTGATCCGTACACATTGATCTTCGAAGGCAAGCTGGACGCGCTCCGACCTACGATCCGAGACGTAATGCAACTAGATGACCCGTACAACTACACCGGTACGACTGCGACGCTAGACACCAAGAATATCTATAAGTTGTTCTCCAAATACGGCGTGATACAGATTGTATCCTCGCGATCGAGACCGGAAGCCTTCATGTCTGAAGCCGCCCAAGAGAATCCCTTCGGCACCTCGGTTGGCATCGTCGAAATGCCAGTGACAAAAGTGGGAGTTTTGTGGAGAAAAGACACGAAGAAAAAGAAGGCCCGATCGCCATGGCAGGAATGGGGCGCCGTTCTCACTCGATCGGGGCTGTCTCTATTCCGGAACTCTACTTGGACGAAGAACTTGATGAGCCAGCACGAGCAACATCTCAAACGCGGCGACACAGGCCCGGTCATATTCCAGCCTGCCCTACCCGACTTCAAGCAAGACCACATCATCCCGATGGACGGTGCGGTTGCGCTTGTCGATGCCACATACAAGAAACATAAGAATGCGTTTGTCATGTTCTCAAAGGCAGGCGAGGAGACATTCTTGGCCGACAACGAGAAGGACCTGAATGAGTGGCTGGGTGTGCTGAACTATACTGCTGCGTTTGAAACACTGGGTGTTCGGTCAAGAGGCATGATTGGTGGGTTGTACGAAGGCCAGAAGAACCGTGGCATGCGGCGCCTGGAGTCGTCCCACTCGACAAAGACGATACCAACGGCCACTGGCGAAGTTACCATAACAAGTGGCAAGATCGACAATCAGTTTGCACAACAGATGATGAACGCTAGGAAAGATCTCATGCAGGTGCGCATTACGGAGTCCGAGGACAAGCTCACCAATGCTATCAAAGAGTTGGAAGCACGCTTACGAGATGCAAGACATCTCCAGATTCTTGCGCCTATTCAACCGAAAACTCGCGAACTGGTCATACACGCTGCCGGTCGGTTATCAGCCAAGCTTAAGTGGACCCGTATCGACATTTGGCGGATGAAATGTCATCGTGACATACTTGCTCAAGAATTGGAGGACGAGAGAAAAGGCCTCGCAGATAAACAAGCGCAAGATGACCAGCCCTCGGAATTTATTCAACAGCCGCAAGTCTCGCCTCAACAGTTGTCGCACAGAGCGTCAAAAGTTAGCGGACTAGCGCGGTTGACTTCCAAGACCAGCTCAATGAACAGCGGCAACAAGCAAGCTCCATTGTCTCCTACCTCACCGGGCCGTCCAGGGACCAAGTCCTCTAGGGAGACTGAATTCGGTGGAGATGAAGCATTCAAGACACCACCGGAGACATCTCGGCAGTCGAGCCCCAGGGACCCATCGGCCCAATTTCAACCTGGGCCTATGTTTGGCCCTGGCTCATCTGATCGTCGAAGCTCATTTGCGAGCTCCTCGGCACATTCTCCGAGGATGTATCCCTCCGATCACAGGCCTTCAATATCGACGACTGGCGATGGCACAATAGGCTCCGATTCTGATTCTGACTCTGAGGACGGGTCTCGGTACGCGACTCCGCCTCCAGGCGAGGCGGGTGATTTGGAGCCCATGTCACCAGAGCCGACACCTGGAGAGAGCCCCCGACCAGAGCCTGTCATTGATTCTGACTACGAACAATCCCTTGCTGCTTTGACAGGATCGCCCAGGTCTCACACTAAGCAAAGAAGAAGTCTACAGCGCACTCTTCGAGAGTCCCGTGGCAGCTCTTCTCACCGCCGCAGCCACAAGAGCAGAGACTCGTCGTCGACAATCACACTCGCGAGTGACAATACCGAGAGCGAGGGACTGGCGCGCGGCAAGGGCAGCTTTACAGTCCATGGCAAGAAGGCATCTGTGATCCAATTCGGCTCCGACTGGCACAACACCACAGCCGAAGAGCGCTTGGCGGCGAAGAAACAGCTCCAGGAGGCTGCCGAAGCGATCTCTGCCGATGAGCGGGATGGCACGACAGCTGCGCTTTCTCCAGGAAGCGAAAGCAATGACCCGTTTCCCCCTCGGAAGTTGTCGGCAGGCACCACAAAGCAGCGACACGTATCGTCTCAGACGATAACTCCAGCAAACTTTCGCGAGTCCTTTAGAATAGAACAGTCAGACTCTGACAGTGAGTCCGACATGAGCGACATTGCCGAAGAGACGCAACGAACGTCCGACGACCAGCCAACGATGAAGGGCAAAGACCCTGTTACCGAACACGTGGAACGGCCTATACATAATCTCGAGGCCTCACCAGCCTAACACAACCTCCTCTCCTCTCATTTCCTTCGCATTCTGGATTTCAAAAGTGGATTTATGGTCATACCAGCATCGCTTGAGCGGCTTCTGTTTCTCCTTTGTCTATTCTACATACTCTTCTTCGGAACTTGTACGCACAAAGCATGGCGCATGCGGGCATTGAATTGGAAACGCGACGGGGGCGCTTTTATACATGCATAGACGGACTCTCGGATTGGCGTTTGCTCGAGATTAGGATTGATGGAAAGCAAAGTAGGGCTTGGTGTCAGGGCATACGGTCGATACCAGTGTTGCTGCTGTTTGTATGTGAATTACGATGTTCCCTTCGTGGATCAAAATATCGAACTACCGACTTATACGTGTGCTGTTATGGTGTTCAGTGCCGTTGTGCCGGCTCCGTGATGATGGCGCTAGTACGAATCAGTTACCCAGCCTTCCAGAACCGTTTCCCGTTACCAGTACCGACTCCTCCACCACACCTCAACTGGTATGCATGACCGCGGTCCATGACTGCGCTTCAATCGCGCACCCACATGTCTGCAAAAACCCGCCCGCCCTGCGCCTCAATCCCCTCACCTCGGGCAAAGCGGCATTGAACACCTCCTTCTCACGCTCCTGAACCCCATCCTGCATACGCTCCTGAAGCTATCCTGCATGCCCTCCAACAGCCAAACCGCGTTTCGCATGTCCGCCAAAAACCAGGCCCCACTCCACGATGCACAATAGCGACCCACCTGCTATTGGTAGAAACAGTGAGGTTCTCGGAGCTCGGCAGCCGCCTTGGGCCTAAGCGAAGACGGTATCGATCATCTCAAACCAGAAACGTCGCGGTGGCCCCTACCAGGTGGACGTGACAGCCCTGTCAGAAATGTCGCGAAGTGTTTTGGTCGTGAACTGGTGATACAGGGAGGTGTGCCTTATTGCCGTTTACGCGCCTGAGGGGGTACGATCTCACGATGGTGGTTGTTGTTTTTTATATAAGAGAAGGGGTGTGGCCGCCGTTGTGGATTTTCGAGTATCGATCTTTCGTCGGTTTCGTCGTTCGCCCTAGTCAGTCTTTACACTTACGTTCTCTTTTTCGTTCTTTTGCTTGCCCTCCGGTTAGGGTATTTTACCTTACTTTTTTATAACGTTCGTTGATTACTACTATACCCATTCAACGCTGTTGCATATTTTTGCCATATACATACAAGACGGAATCTTCGAAGACGAACACGAAGATGTACACCCACGCCTTCACCGCCCTCACGCTCCTCAGCGGCCTTGTCGTTGCTGCTCCTACCGCCAATATCATACCCCGTCAAGGCAATGCCTGCTTCATTGTTGGCAACGAAGTCCTTCCAGGCGAGACGGCCACTGTAGTCCAACAAATCCAAGACAAGGTCACCTGCGACGCCAACGCAAAGACAATCGAAAACGTCCCCGACGTGACCTCCGGTGGCCAAACCTTCTCCAAGATCAACTTCGCTGCCTCTGGTCAAAAACCAATGGAATTCGCCACCAGTACCTTCTTCACCGCTGTACCGCTCGCCGACTCCAACCTCGAGGCTTTCCAAGACGCGCTCAATGTTTACCTAGCTACTGAGGCCGGTCTACGCAGCTCGGGAGGCAACTTTGGAATCATCAAGGCGCCTAAGTTCTTCCTCGAGATGCAGATTTCGAGAATTCAGACTGCGAGGGGACAGCCGCCTACCGACCCAGCTCAGCAGGTCGACCACTTGAGGGACAAGGTTATCGAGAACAACATCAGGGAAGACCAAGCGATTATGGATCAGGTTACTCAGTTGGCTACTCAGCTCTCGTAGGGGATGGAGTCGCTGTTAGTGGAGCGGATGAAGGAAGGATACTCGATATGAATACTTCCAGCCAACATGTAGCAAAACCGTCAATTAATCATATGATACCCGTCACGTTTTGTTCACAACTTGCTCTCGCTACTACCACCCACCTTCCCTCTCCAGCCTGTCAAGGTAGCACCGCCATCCATCTCAACAGCATTACCCGTGATATGCGCACTCGCCTTACTACTCAAGAACAAGACCAGCCCACCAAAGTCACTCGGCTTGCCAATACGGCCAGTTGGCTGTCCCGCCGTCAACGCATCTGCGAATTTCTCCAGCCCAAAGTTCGTCATGCGCGAGGGAAAGACGCCAGGGCAAATGACGTTGACCATGATGTTCTTCGGGGCGAGTTTCGAGGCTTGCATCTTGGTGAGGTGGATGCACGCTGCCTTTGCTGGGCCATCTAGTAATTTCGTCAGTAAAAAGCAGTCTGGTAAAGGAAGTAATTGGAACGTACAGCTATAAGTCCCAGTCCCCGGATTACTCAACCCCCCACCCTCGCCCGTCGTAACATCCACCGTCGTAATACCCGCCATACTAGCAATATTAATAACCCTGCTAGGATTATGCGCATCCGCCCCCTTAGCCAACAACCCCTCACACTCGACCGTCATATAAAATATACTCTTCACATTCAACGCATACAGCTTATCCCACGCATGTTCCGGATAGTTGTAGTAATCATCGCCCCAGCTCGCGCCCGTGTTGTTCACCAGCACCGTCAGGCGGTCTGTTTGCTTCTTCAGCTCCGTGCACAGAGCGAGGCAGCCAGCTTTGTCTTTTAGGTCCGCGACGATGTAGGAGCATTTTCCGGGGCCGAGGGCGTTGAGGCGCGCGGTGGTGGAGGCGAGTTCGGATTCTTTGCGGGACGCGATGAAGACGCGCGCGCCGTTTTGGATGAAGGCTTGCGCGGCCATTTCGCCCAGGCCGGTGGCGCCGCCTGTTACGAGGACGACGTGCGAGGTGTAGTCGAAGAGCGTGCTGACGCGCAGGTCGTCTTTGGAGGCGGCGTGCGTCATGGTGGGTGGTGGTGTGGATGGAGGGTTGCGGGGTGGCTGAGGTGGAAACGGGTGTAGAGGTGAGGTCGATCGACTTTAGGCAGGCTTCAAGGAGGTATGTGTATATGCACAGAGATGCGCGGACGCGTCAAGGTCGATTCAGCCATGTCGGCAGAGCTGTGGTGGAGAGATGGCATGGACCTCGGCATCTTGAAGCTGTTTGCGGGGTGCTAGCGTCACTTGCGAACTCCACTGTGACCATTCGAGATATCGGTACGTTTTCTTCGATCTGCACTCAACCCGTAATGATGTGATTCTGAAACGTCTTTACATACGGACCTCCCATCGTACCACTCCGGAGGCGTCCTCTTCGCGGCTTGTTCCACACTCGGCTTTCAGTTTGTCTAGCATCTCTACTGGGTTCCTTACGAGGTATACATTACCGAGTGGCATTCGGCTGGAGACGCGCCAAGGATTTTCAAAGTGACCAACACCAAAGACTGGCTTTGGGGGTCGGTCCTCTGGGTTCTCTGCACAGTTGGGGTCATACTTGATCGCTTCCTCGAGGTATCCAATGGCAGCGTCTATATCCCCAAGTGCTTTGCAAACGACATGTGCCCTGAAGCTCAACAGAGATTTGAGCTTGCCAACTTCAAGCTGCCATTTTTTTGAAGCTAGCGACGCTTCTTGCGCACACATGGGCTGATCAGATAAGAAACTGATCGCGTCTTCAGCCTCCTTGCGCGCTTTCTGGAGCAATGCCACACTGTCGGATGAACCAGCTGGGTCTTCCTCTTTCGACTCCAATATACCTGCGCGATGGCAGAGGGCTTGTATCTCCCCTGCAGCGATTTCGCAAGTCCGGAGCCATAATTCAAGAACCCCGTCCCTCGATGTATCGTTGCGTTTGTAGTCGAAAAGATATACATAGGCCATACGAGCATGCTTCATATTATCCAGATGGTCAAGATAGTAAACAGCAGGCCACTCTCTCATCAAGTGCTCTCTTAACTTCATGGCCCAAGGAGAAGTGATCATGTCATTGGTGCTCACAATGTGAAATCTAAGGCGGGCCTTCGAAATGGGAAGCAGCAGAGGTTCAATGAGGATCTCTTGGGCTCGTTCAAGCGTGTGTGAGAACGTCTCAAAAAGCGACACATATAGGGAAGTGCTTCCAAACCTGACGCAGGTTAAGATCCGCCTTCATGGTATAATGAGAACTGCAATTACTCACCGATTTTGATGACCTTTGCCAATACGGATCAAGATCGGCAGGCTCGAGGCTGGCAGCAAGAAACACGATGTATTCTCCATAGGATTGGGGTAGAGGTTGCGGGTCGTGTGAAATTCGAGTTCCATTGCCACAGGAAAACCTGAAAAGTCCTTCTTGACAATCTCATCGCAGGATTGCAGTTGTGAGATAAGTGGTACGCGCGGGCAATCCACCCGGCGGCCGCGGGAGTTGTAGGTTGGACACCCGGGTAGCACGGGTATTGTTTTGTCGAAGATGCTCCGAAGAAACTTTGGATGATTACTTTTGACAACCACGCACAGTTGGAGTCTCAAAAACTGGAAGATCTCTGCGTTGATTTGCCGGCTCAATGTAAGCAGCTTACATAATGGCGATGAGGGTGCAGACGCCTGGGGAGGTACATCTAAGCGGCGGGTTCTTCGAGCCACACTTCCCATCTCGGCATCTGAATGATACGGATCGTTGTATCCAGCTGGAGTGTAGGTCAAGAGCTCGTGATAAATATGCTCACGGATTGTGATCGGTAAAGTCTGGAAAGTATTCATTAAGAGAGGCTGATGGCGGTAGTACTGTCGTGAAGAGATAGTGGTGTCTCTCATAATTCGAGAAGAAAAGGCGATGTAGCCTGCAAGTATACTATAAGGCTCTAGCGTGGTCCCAACCGTATGATTAGGCAACCAAGATCCTTAGACTTGCACGCCTGACAGATGACTCACGTTATACCTGAATTGGGCTGTAGTGATATGTACCTCCTATCGAATGCTGCAGCTTCATGCAAGGCGAAATGACGTGTTGTGCTGCGCCTAGGTAATTACCTAGGTACAAAAGCGCCACTCGCGTCCACCATGGTTATAGCCAAAACACTTGCTGCTCACCCCAGGTAGGTAAGCGCAATGATCCAACTACCTGTCGAACTCCAACGGGGTTGCATCGATTTCCTTTCCGACGATTTGGCGACGCTTAAGGCCCTTCGCCTGGTAAACAAAGGATTCCACGAATTGGCCTCCGAGAGTCTCTTCCGCACAGTATCCTTCACGAACGTCGGAAACAGCCCTGAAAGATTCTTGAATATCATTCATTCCTCTTTACGAAAGCATGTACGTCATGCCATCATCAATACTTCCGAGCACCCCGACAGGGAGCAGAATGAGGAGGATGAGGATGAGGAGCAGGATGACGACGATGACGACAACGGGAGATATCTAGCGGATGGACCAGACATCCTCTGTACCTTCGCTGACGCCATCACACAACTTCCACAGTTGGAGAGTTTGAAGCGGACAGAGCTAAAGTTCTCGAGCATTTGCACCGTGGAGGACTACACTCACACCAGATACAGAGATACTATGCTGCAGATTAGAGAGGATGAAAATTTCCGGGCGAAGATCCAGGACCTTTGCTTCCAGGCTTTGGCGCAAAGCGAGAGCTTCGAGAGTCTTACGATCCAGAACTTGCAGGATGCAATGCCTCAGGATGTTATGGAATCAAAAAGCTTCCTGGCCGTGAGAGAGCGCTTGACAGAATTGCGACTGAGAATTCTGAGGTACCACGTGGAACCGGAAGGTGGACAGAGCACCTATGCTGATGCGCAGCACAATGGTCTAAGGCGATTTCTCCCGAAGTACTGGTTGAAGCCCACCACCAACCAACTCACACGGTAAGTCTCTCTGTACAAGTCTCGAGCTATCTGTGAGTCATGTTCTGATTTTGCAAATAAATCTCTAGTCTTACGCTCGATTGCGACTGCCTCTGGGGCGTCTGGCCTTTCACGGACTTCCGAGAGGTCGAACCGTTTCCACACCTCAAGTCGTTGTGTTTTGGCAATTGGACCATCGCGCATGACTGGCAGGTCGACTGGATCGTCGCGCATGGAGCTACACTGGAAACTCTACTTCTTTGCGGTTGCGGTGTTGTTCGTTATCTGGCTTTGCTCGACAGGGGAATGAAAGCGAACTTCCCTCAGCTGCTTCCACAAACGGGTGACGACGAGACTGATGATGAGGATGACGAAGGGAGTGATGATGAGGGTGACGATGAGTTTGACAGCTTCGGTCTTTCTTATGGACCTGAATGGGAGATGGAGCCGGATATTCGTTGGCATCATCTATTCGAACGCTTCCGAGTTGGCCTCCAACGTCTTCGGTACTTCAAGTCGGGCTATTCGCAGGATTATCCCTTCGATAGCCGCTACAACATGCGGCCCGATCACCCCATGAATGCTTACTACTCCCTTGACTGTCGCAAACCACCGGGATTCGAGCCAATCGGGTGGGACGTCTACGAGCCTGAACTTGAAGAAGAAGCTCAGCGTAGGCAAGAGACAGACCTCCAGGAGGAGGATCGGCGTGCTCTGACTGCACTGATGGAGACAGTGGAACAACGGGTTGTTGAAGCTATTTGAAGTCGACCAAAAATGCAACATCATGTCGACTTATAGATGCTTTTCTCGTGCAAGATTTTCCCCACCAGGGGTGGATAGAAGTCATGAAGCACTTTGCCGCTTACATACATCTCAATCTTGATAAGTTAGTAGTCTCCAAGATAAGGTATACTTCTCGGAGAGCCAAATGATATCCTAGGAGAATGTGACACAAGTTGTAGCCACCCCTAGTTGACACATCTTTTCAAGAACGGTCCCAGACGGTAGCCGAGTACTATCTCGGTGTGTTCATTGCTGAAGGCTCCCGAACTCCGCAATCGCGCAGTCTTTTCCCTGAAAAGAAACTGAGAGCGTCTTGCTAGGTTTGCCAGATTCGCGTAAACTGACATCGAAGACACCGGGTACAACCATAGGCCTTCTGAACTGCACCTCCATCCATGAGGAAGTGGTGAACGGTGGCTGCAAGCTTTTCGAGTCCGTCAGTAGATGTAGAGCTTTAGCGACTGTGTGATTTCCATGCGCAATCTTTCCAGGTAGACCAAAGGCCTTCGCCGCCGCTCCCGATAGATGAATGAAGTTGTAGTCCTTACAAATCGCAGCCCATTTCAGCGGGTCGTCGACTGACATCGATACCTGTGTGGTGCTCTCAGATATCTGTGGTATCGCCATGCTAGACCTGGTCTCATATGAACTGTTCCGGATTTTCTTGGACTGTGACTTTCTCAGTTCTAGCATGGTGAAGATCTGGCGAAAGATGATATCCATAGTTCCATCCTTCCTACCAGTGGGAGTGGTGATCACGACCTCCAGATCCCACTCGATGCCTCGTTTTGCTGGTCTTGGGTGGTTACTTGCAATCGCCTTCAGACGGGCTGTTCGTAGATCCACGAGTCTCGACAGGTCGTATAGGTCGGGGCGTAATATCTCGAACCTATTGCGCACGTTGACTGCGCCTAGTGGATTGATGGGACACCAAGGACTGGCGAGTAGAAGTAGCATTGCCGGCTCGGTCATGGCTGAAAGGAACAGCATTAGTTGCGGTGCTGAGAGCTCTTCTCCTGAGTTGCTTGTTCCTCCGACTGCTGCTTGATACCGAACAACATCGTCTGCATCTAGAGTGAATGGCGAGTCAAGCTCTAATGCTGAAAGCTTGATGCGCGGAAACCCGGGAATTGCGTAGAAAATTGATTTTGCTATCATTGACAGGATCGCTAGCACGACCTCCCCCATGCGAAGTGAGGCTGGGGAAAATGCCAGAGTGACTCTTCTTGGGCTGAACAGCAATGGCGTCAGGCGGTACCCGAACGAGACGAGCACGCCGAAAAACATGCCCGATATGAGAAATAGTGGCATGCTGGAAGGCTTGCGATGAATCCGATGCTCCTAGGTACATGTGCAGGTCGTGGATGCCAGATGCAGAGGACCTCGGGAGTGCCTCGGTAGCTAGCGGCGCCGATGACATCATTATCAATGTGGAAGTCACAAGCGCAGCACCCAGCCACCCTCATGCCCACTGCAAGTGCCACCCATCGCATCGTGCCAAAAAGGCAAGAGTCAAAAGTTCTCCACGACGAGCGGCCCCGTCCGTTTGCTCAACCTCTTCGACCCAGCCCTCTCCATCCAAAGCTCATCCGTCCTCGCTGAACCCACGATGGCGCACCTTCTCCAACACTTTCGATGCTCACAGTTCGGGCACTTGTTTCCGGCGCGTGCGAACGACCATATTCTCTCACCTAGAGAAATTAGCAAGTCTTGATGCGAACGATCGAGGCAACATACAGCGATGACAGCACCAGCTGTAAGTCGCGTCTGGGTTTGCATTGCTTGCAATATTTCCCATAGCTGCATGCGGCCTTTCCTGTGATCTGAGAGGACGTAAGGCTCGGTCTCTTTGAGCTAGTATGGACGACAGGTGCGACAGAGATATTGTGTGCGGTTTGACCAAGTGCTGCACATATGTATTGAAGGGCTGCCAGGCTTGAAGACAGAACTTCTGTGCGTGGGTATCAGATTTCTATGCTACAGTAATGGGAACGAGAACATGATTCGGGGCCCTTGGGATGTACCAGAGCTCGCGCTGTCTGCTTGCGTTGCTTCGACATTCACAGATCACCGCCAGCACGACCCGTAAACACCGAACATCCTGCGAGTCGTTGTATGACGTGCACCCGAAAGCCAGGCTGTCGAGATACGTAGTTCTTGGGCTTACTTCATCGAGCCCTTCACTTTAGGGGATGTTGTTTGGTTAATGGACTACTAGGATCAGGGCTACTTTGGTGTGCCTGCAAGATCCAACGGCAGTGTGACTGATCCAATTTGTAGACTACCCCCGAAATGGCATATGGCCAGAAATACAGACAAACTAGGGCCTAGACTGATAGTTCCCTTGCCAAAGCTCTGCCGGGCTACGATCTGAAGCACTGCCAGGCATCTCTGCAGGGCTGTGATTTTGGCCATCTGCTGAATGTTGCCAGTCACCAGCCATTTCGGAGACGTGCGTTGACGGTGCGGGGCGCACGACCGTCTGAGCGTACTTTGCTTCTCCATCCTGGTACGTGGAATCTGCCGGGTGGTAAACGTATTTATCTTGTTCAACATCCGCATCCACTTGTTCCGTACTGACATTCTTCCGTTTTCTTTTGAACAAAACCCATAACAGCGCCCCAACTATTGCTATCCCAACAATCGGCCCAACGACCGCGCCAGCTATCCAGCTTTTACTCGAAGAATCTGGGTCTTGAGCTGATGGTATGTCTGTTGTTACTGAAGATGGCGTTGCGATTGTACTCGTGTTGCTTGGAGTGGTCGAAGACTCGAACGTTAAACTTGACGTACCTACACCCAGGTTTAGCTGACAGACTTCGCTCGAAGCTACTCATGACTTACTGCTCGGTCTAGCTGTGACTGTATTAAAGATGGTAGATGGTTCAGGCGGCCCGCTAATATAGAATCCCGACGACGATATCTGTTCCGTGAACGGGTCTTCTGCGCCAACGGGTGTGAAGCGTAACACCCAGTAGTCGTTGGCTATCAGTGCCGAAGAAGGTATGTTGACATCCCACTGAAACGATGTAGTGCTGGTTATATCAACGCTTCCTACATAACCTTTGACTTAGTTACTGCGACATCACACGTTTAGAGTCGAACGGCTTCACTCACCAGCGATCTTGAACTTGTAGCTCTGATCCATGAAGCTTGTGACCCAAAAGTCGAGCTTCTTGACATCGCACGAAGTACAGTACGTGTTGAATGCATATTGAAGCTCGGACTTCCAGCGTATAGTGAATGGTGCACCACTTTGCAAGCTCGTAGATCCGTTTGGAGTCGCAGGCGCAGTCCAGCTGTCCTGTATGGTTTGACACCATGCTCCAAAGATGAGATTAGTGTACAAGAGGAGCAGCGCTAAATGTAGAGCCATCTTCGCGCAGGGTATGAGGACACGAAGTCGCGTAATGGTAGATGAGAAACTTGCAAAGACGCTTCTTCTCGGCGCAGTGGTGATCGCCTGGGTATATTGACTCCGAACACCCAAACGACGAGACAGTGCAGCTACATCAGGGGCTAGCAGCGCACATGAGGGAAGTTACAGGTTTTGGAATTACCAAAAGGATTCATGGCGGACGTATTGTGATAGAACTTGACCAATAAGCGCATCTGTTGCGATCAGGAATCAAATACGCCACAACCTTGCAGAAGTCGGAACCCGAGCGTTTCGCGCAGCGCGTAGCACACCGCATAGTCGTCAACGCTGGTTTATACCAGGAGGTAATGCTGTGGCGCTCGATAATGTCATTTCAAATTGGCGTTATCAATGTAAGAAACGACATGGGGACTCACCATAAGCGCCGATGTTCTTTCAAGCGATTGGGGCGTAGCACGGCCCCTAAAACTGTTTGCGGCACAGGTGAGAGGTGTCTTACGCGCCGTAACACGAAACAGTCCGAGCACTATAATAGCATTGCAAGCTGCAAGGTATGGCACGGTGCGCGTCAAGTTTCTGCTCAACTCTCTTCCTCCTTCCATGAGTTTCGCGTCGAGTTCTCGCGCCTGCACCTATGAGAGATTAATCATGTTTCTCAGAAAATGGAGATGGAGTGTGATGCTCCTGGTGGCTTTCGTTTTTCTTGTAACCATCACCTCTTTTTCCGCTCCTTTCACCCCATCGAGGACTTCTATCTTCCCATCAGGCCACCATGAACATGCTCCGAGCTCGCATGCGTGTCCAACAAGACCGCCCATGCCAGCAATAACTCCAGATACTGGAGATCGCTTCAACTGGAGAGCAATCTCGATCCGACACCCAGTTGATGAGTATGCGCAGCTATCCTCACAAAAGCCTTTGTCCAGGAGCACTTTGCAAAGATCTCCGCGTCCAAAGTCGCCAGGTGCCGAAGCGATTGCTGGTAGACGAGCGGCTGTCAAGGAGACCTTTCAACGATGCTGGAAGTCTTACAAAGAACGCGCATGGATGAAAGATGAACTGGCACCCATGACGGGCCAGCCTCGAGATACCCAATTTGGTGGCTGGGGAGCTACGCTAGTCGACTCACTAGACACTTTGTCAATCATGGGGATGGAAGACGAGTTCGCCGAAGCCGTCGAAGCAGCTCTGAAGATCGACTTCAAACCAAGCGATGATCGCGAGAGTGAGATCAACATGTTCGAGATCATTATACGCTATCTGGGAGGCTTCATAGGCGCTTATGACGTTTCTGGCTGCCACGACACCCGTCTTCTGAACAAGGCTCTCGAAGTAGCAGACATGGCTTATGCGACCTTCGACACGCCTAACCGGATGCCTGTGTCGAGATGGAAACCCGGGAAGGCGGCGGACGGCGAAGAGCAGCTGCCAGCTCTCTCAGTACTCATAGCTGAAGCCGCTTCCGCTAGTGTGGAGTTCACTCGTCTCTCCCAAATTACAGGCGATATGCGATATTTCGACGCCATCTCCAGGGTTACGGATGTACTTGATGCACAGCAAGGATCTACGAAGCTCCCTGGAATGTGGCCGATCAGTGTAGACATGAGAACGCCGAACCTGACTTTCGACGCTTTCTTTGGGCTGGGTGCTATGGCCGACTCGGCATTTGAGTATCTACCGAAGATGTATCAGTTGCTCAACGGGAATGAGCCGGCTGGTCAGTATCGCAAGATGTACGAATACGCGATGGATACGGCGATAACGCACACCATGTTTCGACCCATGGTGGAAGACAAAGCAGACATCTTGATCGCAACCGCGAAACATGATGGCCCTGATGGACAAAGAGACAACACTGGGCAGCACCTGGTGTGCTACGCTGGAGGTATGCTGGCGCTTGGTGGGCGGCTCTTCGACAACCAGACCCATCTCGACGTCGGACGGAAGATCTCTGACGGTTGCGCGTGGACGTACAAGAATGCACCGAACGGCATTATGCCTGAAGTCTTTTCGATGACCCCGTGTCCGTCGTGGTCAGAGTGCGATTACACACCAGGCGCAAAGCCGTTCAGCGCAGTCCACGATGGCCGTTATATTCTCCGGCCAGAAGCAATCGAGTCGATCTTCTACATGTTCCGGCTCACGGGTGAGACCAAGTATCAAGAGATCGCGTGGGAGATGTTCCAGGCCATCGAGGCGAATACAAAGACTGAATTTGGCAACGCCGCGCTCCAAGACATTATGTCGACCCCGCCACCAAAGAGTGACAGCATGGAGGTAAGTCCTAGAAATGCGATGCTTCCGAAACAAACGCTGACTTTATCTCTTCACCTCCGCAGAGCTTTTGGTTGGCCGAAACCCTCAAATATTTCTATCTCATCTTTAGCGACCACGATGAAGTCAGCTTGGACGATTTTGTCTTTAATACTGAAGCGCATCCGTTTCGGATACCCTACCGTTAGTGTCTTGATCGTATCGGCGCAGGATGAGTGGGGTGGCTTCCTGTGGCGTTGGTTTAGGACCGCGAACGCGTATCGTAGGAGAGAGTCGATATATGAAATTTGGCTTGGATTCATATCCCATATGAACAGTTGCGTTGGGTAGCTCTAGGTCGACACTGCTGGTGGCTGCTGAGTCTGACGCGTTGCCCGTTGGGCGGCGTTGACCGGGTGGATCCGAAAGAGGGAAGACGGCGCCGGCACCGGCCAAGCTTTCCCCGAAAGCTTGAGCACGGATGGCGTTGCTTCGAGTCTCGACTTTCGACGCGCACGACACGCGTGAATACATTCTGTGTCCTGGATATTGCGAGCCTGAAAGTTCCGGGCACTTGTTCCTCATCACATGCCGATGACTTTTTCCGTCGTGCTCAACGCATACCTAGCGCATACCAAAGGTTCACTGTAGCGCGGCGATGCCCTTTCGTCGGTATTTGACGAAGACGTTAAACCTCGGTGTGCTGCTGCCGAAGTCTGTATCCGTTCGCTAAATGATAGGATGACGAAACTTAGCGACGACGACACCGTGACGACGACGGTTCGCAACCCCTGCCTGAAACTAAATGGGCTGGGGTCCAGCCAATAATCCTACCATCTGGGGTCTCCACTGGGGGTCTCCGCGAAAGTCTTCTTCCGCAGGTATTAGTATGGGGAAGGACGGGTACACAGTATGGGGTTGCCACCCCGAGGCGTGCGCACTCGAGATTGCTGGTCTTTCTCTTTCTTGCTACTCATTCCGCAACTCACGCCTAGGGCTGTACCACTAAGACCACGTCACAGTCATGGAGAACGACAAAGAGGCCATCTCAGATAAGCCGATGACTAGTGAGGATCTAGAGCATGCAAACACTCATGGCACGTATCTCGACAATGACGAAGTATCTCACCTTTCCGAGGAGCATCGACAGTATCTGTTGGAAAGACATGGCACGCTTGAGCTTGACCCCATACCCACCATGGGCACGGCCGATCCATACAACTGGCCTCAGTGGAAGGTAGGTCATCACGCATTTATCAGTTTGAGGTCTACTGACAATGGGAATAGAAAGTGATGAACCTCCTCTTTGTCGCCTTCCACGCCATGATGTGCGCGTTTCCCGCTGCTGCAATCATTCCAGCCTATGAGAACATATCCGAAGACCTGGGTGTCAGCCTCCAAAGAGCATCGTATCTTACGTCTCTACAAATCGCTATCCTCGGGGGTGCTCCACTGTTCTGGCGGCCGCTCTCCACACGATACGGACGTCGACCCATCTTCATCATATCTTTGATTGGCAGTCTAGTCTTCAACGTCGGCTGCGCGAAGAGTCAAACATACGCTGCCATGGCTGCTTGCCGAGCTCTCCAAAGCTTCTTCATCTCACCCCCGAACGCAATTGGCAGTGCCGTTGTGGTCGAAACTTTCTTCAAAAGGGAGAGAGCGAAGTTTATGGGTATCTGGACGGTGATGATCACCCTGGGTATACCTCTGGCGCCCCTAATTTTCGGCTTTGTGACCTACAACGTCGGCTATCGCTGGATATATTGGATCCTCGCAATCGTCAACGGCGTTCAACTCATCCTGTACACGCTCTTTGGACCCGAAACGCGCTTCATCCGACATAACAACGCGCAACACGCGCAGTTCGGGTTTGCGGCCTACAAGGAGATGTATCTAAAGTTTCGCCGCATCGATCCTACACCCATTACTGCCTCGGAGTTCATATCACCACTTCGACTATTCAAGTACCCATGCGTGGTCATCCCTGCATGCGCGTATGCAATGGTCTTTCTCTTCGCTTCGGTCCTCGCGACCGTTGAGATTCCGCAACTCTTCGGCGAGAAGTTCCACTTCAACGCACAGCAGATCGGCTTACAGTTCGTGGGTGTTATTATTGGTACAATCATCGGCGAGCAGATTGGTGGACACTCGAGTGATCTCTGGATGCGATGGCGCGCAAAGAAAATGACTCCTCTCCGCCCTGCTCCAGAGTTCCGTCTCTGGCTGAGCTACTTCGGCATACTTCTCACCATCTGTGGCGTGGTTGTCTTTCTCGTTCGCATCGAGCAAGCCCCCGATCTGCACTGGAATGTGACGCCAATCGTCGGTGCAGGCATAGGTGCAGCAGGCAACCAAATCGTCACTACTGTCCTGATCACCTATGCGGTCGATTGCTACCCTGAAGAAGCTGGTAGTATTGGCGTGTTTGTTACTTTTGTAAGGCAGATTTGGGGATTCCTCGGTCCATTCTGGTTTCCTCCCATGTTTGAGAACGTGGGTATTGCGAACAGTGCTGGCATTGTTGCGGCGTTGCTGGTAGGCGTTAGCTTGATCCCTGTCATGTTCACTCATTGGAAGGGCCATACGATGAGAGGTCACATGTCGGAGAGGATGTAAGACCAGTTGACATATCTCCTTGCCATTGTGTTCAATGAAGAGCTACGCATCTCTGGGTAGGGTGTGAACACGTCAATGACAACCTGAACATTACGAAAAGCACGCGCATCTCCAGCTGATCCCTTGTTGGATTCTTTGATTGAATGCGATAGTAAAGGCACTATAGTACATGCACAATTCTCAACCTACAACTTCGCTTCCAACCCCTCCTTCTGACACAGCTCTTCTGCCTCAGCCACAACATCAACACCGTAAACTTGCGCCTGAATATCCGCATCCGCCCACTTGTCCGGCACCTTCCCAGATCCAGACTTCAGTGCCGCGAAGATCTTATCGCGTTCCTCCTTCGCCTTGCCAGCACCGAGATGCATATCTCGCCCGTTCTGCGCCGCGAGCTCAACCAGCGCTTCCGCTCTCGGCTTCCTCAGCTTCTCATACAAACGAAGTGCGTGCTCGATGGTCTGCGGCTTCCCGTCCGCGATACGCTTGGGAGAAAGCACCACACCCAGCACAGCGCCGTCTTCAATCGCCTGAGCTGCACCTTGGGCCATGTGCGGGAGCGTTGGATGGCAAGCGTCGCCGACCAGGGCGGCTGTACCATGCACCCAGGTTACCAACGGATCATGAACCCGTAGCTTCCATTCCACAACTTCGCCTTCTGGCACCAGGTTCAACATGCGATGTATCATCGGACAGAAATCGCCGTAAACGTCCAACATGGCCTTCTTGCTGCCTTTGGTTGTATATTGTGCATCTGGTGCTCCGGCGAAGTTGATATCGGGCTGCGCGGTGGAGATGTTGTAGATTTGCTTGTTGTGGATTGGATAAGCGATGATGTGTTTCTTCTCGCCAATCCAGCGTGTTACTGTGTCGGACTCGATCAACTTCAATAGCTCTGGGTCATTCTCCATTTGGTCTCGGGACAACATGATGCGGTATGCAGCTTGGCCTGAGTCGCAAGCTGCGCCGGTGTGGCCGAGCTCCTTGAGCATGGCGACGCGAGTAGAGCTCTTAACGCCGTCCGCGCCGAGCAAGATATCGCACTCGACCTGTTGGGGCTCTCCGTTACCCTGAGCTGGTGTAATGGTGAACTTTGGCTTCGCACCAAACTGCACGTTGGATATGTTGCAGCCCAGCATGAATGTGATGCCGTTTTCCTTCTTGCAGCCTTCGTATAGGCCGTTTGCTAGACTCGCTCGGTGACCGACCATGTGTGGGTATCCATACTTTTCTCGCACGTAGCCCAGATCTACGTACCCTAGCTCTTTGTCTGTCGAGCCTTCCCGAATTGATGTATTTGCGCATTGAACTGCTTCGTCGCGGATTGGTCCCCAGCAACCTAATCGGTCAAGGATGCGAGCCATGTTTGGTGCGAGTTGAATGCCGGCGCCTACGAAGCCCATATTCGTTGCGTTCTCATATATCGTGATGTTCTTGTGACCGGCTTTTGCGAGAGATAGTGCTGCCGCTAGGCCGCCCATGCCTGGAGTATGTTAGCTATCACGGTATGGTGGGTGATCTGGGTGGGGATATCTACCTGCTCCAACAATCGCTATCCTAGTGTTCTCTGCCATCATAGAAATACTGTGCCTCTGTCTCGCCACTTGATGTACAATATCTGCTGGTATGGTAGAGGATGGAGCGCTGCTGATGCAATGTGGTTGCTGGTTGTTGTCGAGCCGGTTTCGCCGAAGACAAGCAGGGAACGTCCCGACAGCCTTTAAGATTCTGCTCAAACGTTTCTATATCTCGGTCTCTTGCTTTTGCTCCAATCCCTCCACAAGTTCCGAGCTCCTTCCCGTGCGAATGTTCAGCCACCGGAAGATAGCTTAGCCGGAATGTTCCTACCAGGGCTTCCGAAGCTGCCTCCGGACCTTGAAAAGCACTACACGTCACTCTCAGTCGCAATAGCCGAAGTTTATCTAAGTGAACTCAGTAAGCACTTCTTCGATAAACATATATCGGGGAAGCTGTCGGCCCGAATACGTCTACGCCTGGGGAGCTTGCTGTTCCAAGGTTGTCAGCTACCGGCTGCACACCCCACCGTGGCGGGGCAACGGTTAGCGTCTTTCCATCTCAGCGCCCCACCGCCATCAATGAACGCGCGAGATCCGGCAAATGCGGAGTCGCGGAGTGTGGGTGAGCCGTTCTTACATCTTACTATCGCATCGGCTGTGATTGCACGATCTCGAGGTAAGCTGAAGACGCTGTGCTTAGAGATATTGAAGATGCGCATGAGTCCTGACGCCAGATCGCTTCCACTACGCGACAATACACCTCCAGGGACATGAACTGATGCAGCAGTTACTGTAAAGCACCAATCGGGCGTCAGATTTGATGGCTTAAGCAGTTCGCGATCTGGTCAACATCATACCAACCTTTTCGCTCATACACCATATGCCTGATAGGCCTTGTCGCCTACTTAGAGCTGTATCGACAGTCTCTTGTGAGCGTTCTCTCCAACGCTCGTCGCAACGACACGTGTAGAAAAGCCTCCGACCAGAAGTGCATGAATACATTGTGTCATCTGCTATTCGTTTAATGCGTCGCGGTTCACTAGGCTGGGAAGTCTACATCGAGCCGCAAGTCTACTTCAGTCCCGTGGATACGCGATGGGGGGCTGCATACCCCGCGCTAGCTCAGGGTAGGATGTGGGGTGACTTCCCGAATCACCTCATGAGTAGACTGAGAATTTCGCATCTTTCGTGACTTCAACAACGATATCAGCTTATTCGTCTAAAGTTTTACGGACGACTGCTGTATGATTATTGGATCTGTGAGCGAAGACAAACAAATACCTCATCATTACGTGTCGCGAGGCTCACAGAGAGGAAAAGGGTTCACCCGAAACTCTCTTTGATCTTCGGAACACAATCGGAAGACCAGCCTGAAGACAGCGTGACCTTCGGTGTCAGATAAATCACCTGGAGCTTGCTACCTCTGCAGTGGTGATCTAGAACAGTAGCTACGCGGAAAAGGCTTCTCCCTTTGGCCCAGCACACCTTCGTGGACAACAACTTCAGGACAAAGAGAAGTACACGGACCTAAACACAGCGACCCTCGATAATGGCTCGACGAAGCTCATTCGATCAAGCATCAGACGGCTTCCGGGCCCATCTACCAGACCTCAGCAGTCCCCGCTTCACGACGGCCGCAAAGCAAAACATCTACGAATATGTCCAGTCAATGCAAGACAACCGCGCCCCGCCATGGCTGTACGATCTGACTAAAGTTTGGGAGAAGTTGTTGGAAGAGCCGTACAAAGGCATCACGAATGACGGCACTATAAGGGATGGTCTATATCAAGCACGAGACGAAGGTGTAGATGTTGATTGCCCGGTCAAGAAGGCGGAGAAACTACTCGCAGCTCTGGATAGCAACCAGAAGGCGAAGATCTCATACCCAATCAATGCCAGAGAGTGGAGGGCATGGAGTAACCCAGAGTTCTTACTGCGACCATTCGGGCTCAGACTCGAAGAAGGTAAGTCTCGAATTTACCGACGCTACGACCTGAGGCTAACTGCTACAGTGCCTGAGAATATCGCGCAGTCAATACTTGCAGTGGTAGAGGCATCTCTTTCCCCAGAAGGCTACGAAAAGGCTATCGCGGCCATGCGGGTGAACCATTTCTTGGGCGAGGTTGTCAAGCTACCCAACATCTTGAACAAGTACTCTTACAATTTTCTGCTTTTTGGTACGCCTTCTACCTCCGCTTCCTCGCCCTGGGGATGGCTGCTCTATGGCCATCATCTCGACATCTCCTGCTTCTACAAGGGAAATCAAGTTATCATGAGTCCGTCGTTCACAGGTGCCGAGCCCAACATCATCGATGACGGAGAATGGAAGGGTACCAAGATATTACACAAAGAAGGCAGTCTGGGTTGGAAGCTGATGCAGAGTCTCAGCCACGAGCAACAACAAAAGGCACAGATCTTCAAGAAGATGAGAGATGAAGGCATGAAGCAAGTCTACGGCAACTCCAACAATGACGAGACTAAGCGAGACGAGCTCATTACCGATACGTGGGGTCCAGATGACCAGCGCCATCGATGTGGTGCCTTCCGCGACAACCGCATCGTACCCTATGAGGGCGTTCTGGTCTCTTCTCTCGACTCGTCACAGCAAGAACTAGTCCTCGCCATATGTGAAGAGTTCCTGCTATACCATCCCACGAAGGCGCGCCAACATAAGCTTGATCAGATCAGACAACACTTGAGCGAGACCTACTTTTGCTGGATCGGAGGTTTCGGCGAAGACGACGCGTTCTACTTCCGTGTCCAGAGCCCGGTTATCTTGGTCGAATTTGACCACCACTCTGGTGTCTTCCTGACGAACAAGGAGCCAGCGAAGTACCACACACACACTATTGTGAGGACACCGAATGCGGGAGATTACGGACAGGCTATTAGAGAAGGAAATGAAAAGTTAGAGTGAGCAGGCACTGGATGCAATGTACATAGGGCGTGTCGCAAGGAGATACGTGGCACCCATGTCGTAGATCTCCGTTGTGAGGCGCATGTTGAATTATGAGAGGCTGCAATAACTACAATACCTATCCTCCACTTCCAGGCGCCGGCCTCGTATCACCAACGAGATTCGTATACTTAACATCCACCTCAAGAACTCCAAACCATACATGTCGCCCATCCCTTTGCTCGAATCTCACCTCGCCCTCCAAAGTAACGAATTCCGCTTCCTCACCTGCCGGAAGATAATTCTCGATTATCCGTACTAAGTCTTGTTTAGCGACTTCATGTCTACATTCTTGCTGTTCATCAGCATCGCTTCCTGCAGCAACCGAATAGTGAATCGCAACTTCTTCTTGTGGCATAGTGGGAATCCCGGCTATCAGTGCGAACATGTTTCCGGCATCATCATGACGAGGAGTCTTAGCTCTTACGTACGTGAAACCTGGTCGTTTCTGAGTTGATAGATGATCGTAAGTCTCCACGTCGCCTTTGTAGGTTGTCGGATAGAGAGAAAAGCCGACGTGGATGTTCGGTTTAGCTGGGATGTCTTTTGGGGTTACGTAGCGCACGATCACGTAGTACTTTTCATCTACCTTGTAGGGGCCTTTGGGTGCCATATGTAGAGGTTGTTGACAGCTGACCCTGTGAGGGGGGAGTTGACTTATAGGCTAAGTGTTTGCCAGGCGCTGATTTGCCTGACCCATGTGATATTGTGTAAGTACCAAGCAGCTCGATAATCGTTTCGTTGGCATGAAACCACCTCAGGTGCACTCATAGACGTACAGGGATAGTCGTGCCGCGGATAATTGACAATTAAATGACGTAGTCTAGTAAGAAGTGATGACGTGACTACTGACTAGTCACTTCAAGTTCCTGCTACCTTACACTTGCACAACCTCATGCGGTGTGTACGTCTACAGTTCCAATATCGTATCTAAAGTACCGACGCTGGGGCCCCTCAGAGTCAGCTTGGATAATAGCCATAGTTTCGATCCAGAGAGGCCCATCGTCTCCAGGTTGTAGCGTACCAACTGTGAAGTCCAATCTGATGTTACCACGCAACATAAGCTGCTGTAATTCTGTTGCTAATAGAGCGCGCAGATCTTGCTCCGCCTCCTCACGCTGCTCCCTTGGCTGGCTGGCTATCCTGACTGTTGTCTCGTCGTCACGGAGTACTTTAGCTGTGATCATAGCCATGGAAGCATGTACACCATTGTAGAAAGGATTGGCCACACAATGCCAGTTGACTCTCTCATCGGCAAAGAACGCACGCTCCTGTAGATTCTGGAATCGCCAAGACTGGACGAAAAAGCCTGGTACTATGTTTTCACTCCTGTTGGCGGTGCGGATAACCATGTAGACTGGGGTAGACATCTTGGGTTATCTAGTGAAGAGAGTGGGAAGCGGCGCGAACACATCCATGAGAATGGCCGGAAGTGATATACGAATTGTGGGCTTGCTACATCCGGTCAGATGTCAGTCTTGAACGCTTTTCGTGGGCAGTGTGACCAGGTCCGATAAGTCTCCAAGCCAAATCGCCATGTCGTTTGGACATATGGCACTGCCCGTCCGCCACTTCCCCGGCTCATATACATCAGGACTGCGAGTTGTCCATCTTGAGATTTAGTACTCCTGAACCTGTTGTTACTACATTACTTAGGCTTTCTGGGCTCCAACATAGCCAAACACAAGCAGCAGCTGCAATGGTCTAGTGGTTATGACATTCGCCTCACATCGAATGTGCGACGCGAAGGGTCCCGAGTTCAATCCTCGGTTGCAGTATTGTTTTTGCCATTCGCACGTGGACTGGGCTTGGTCGTTGTTGGAGTTGTGACGGATCCAGTGCAGATGGCGACCATTTGACAAGTGTTTGCTTGGCATCTAACATGTGAGTTCGGGAAGCTAAGGGTCTACTTTTTGGCCAATGCAAATCATGCAGCATAGCATTCTTTCGTAAGTGAATTTGCTTCGTGTAATGCGATGCCAACACAGGCATGCGCACAGTGCTTGCATCGCAAAGTCAAATTACCGGCCTGAAATTGTTAGATCCGGAGTGGGGCGTGTGCTCATTGTTGACAGTCGAGACATTGGAGAATCATGGTCGGCTGCGATGCGGTCATGGTCTAGATCGCGATAATTTTCTTTCAATAAATCATTGTGGGCATTAATGACGATGCACATGCTGATGAAGCTGGTGGTGTTGACGCTGTGGTCACTCCACAGGACGAACAGGTTGCGGAGCTGCACGCTGACATCAGCGTCGCGGAAACCTCGGCCAGCCACGCGATGCGCGTGCTCACCCCACAATCGAAAGACTGCCATCTAACCACGATCAGCACACCACTAACCCCACATGGCCCAGTCCCGTCGTCTCAGCGTCCGATTGGATCTCGGTGGCAGCCGTTTCACCAGCCGAACCCTTTCCAGGCGGCACGCCAGGAGAAGCCGCGATACATGCGCGGCCGGGAAACCCTTTGAAGGGGAGCACCCAACGACCTGGTACGTCAGCGGCCTCTCAGTCTGGGGACGCGACGCGAGAATGCGTCGGACTAAGCTCATCAGTCCATTTGCGTCACGGAGCCCGGTGATGTCAAGTGCTGTGATTCGTCGTATGATGGACGGGTGTGGTGGAGAGACATGAGTGCACAGCCTACTTGTGACCTGCATTTCCCCGCACGAGGCTGTCGTATATACAGTCCGCATACGCCGCGCTTGGGACGTCTCACCGGAACACATTACACGTAGCAAGCCATCAATCAAACACCACACTACCGAAGTCAAACCGCGGCCGATACTTTCACACGTCTTGGCCATCACACGTACCAACGTCAAACACAACCACACCTGGGCACACCAAGCGACAAGATATAAGTCGAGCCAAAACTACCATCTCGAGGAACCATCACCATACTCGGCACTACTTTCGCCACTACCATACAACCATCAACATGTCTTTCCTCCTCCGCACATCTACCCTGGTACGCCAGAGGCTCTTCACCACCTCAACACGTGCTCGCAGTGCTATCTCCATGGAAGATGCCGCCGCAGCACAGATGACATCCACCCCTGGTGCGAGTGTCGTCCCAAGGCTCGGAAAGGTAGCACGATGGTACGTCTCTCCCTCTATATGATTCCCATCACCACTAACAACGACCAGGTATCTCCCGACCATGGCGGCGGTAGCCATTGGTATGATCTACCTTCCCAAGACCGCATCACAGCCTCGCCGACCCCTTACGCTCGGTGATGCTAATGCCAACATAGGCTTTGGCGTGACCAATGCACTCAACGAGGCCAACCGCAAAGTACACTCTGCGCTTGAGCTTACTCAGGAACAAAAGAACCAGATGCTCATGGACTCTTACGGCGAGCGCTCAAGCTTGGAGGACATGGAGCGGGCGATTGCTGGACTCGAGGCCAAGATGACCACCCAGAAGGACAGGAACAGGATTTTGGAAGAGGCATATGGCGACAAGGCCAGCCTTGAGGACCTCCAGAGGGCCATGGAGCTGTACGAGGTGCAGTGAATGAAGCAAGGAAGGGTGGAAACCCCGAAGAGCAGAACCCCAGCTTCGCGCCTTGGAGCGCACACACTACAGAGAAGAGAAGGATGAACCCGCGCGCTGAACGCCGCGAGAGTCACACCGCCAGGCCACGAGCAGACACCGACATCAAATCAGGGTGTCTGGCTCGTGTACCTCGAGAAGTGACGGAGGAACACGCATTTCACTTACGTCTCGGCTTTTAGCGTTTTTAGCAACTCGTAACAGACCCCAACAGTGGGCTACGATTTCGTACTATACCAATATCATCAATATCAATTTACTATGTTCAATACACAATATTCTCGTTCCTCGCTTTCCAGCCGATGCTAGCCTTGTTCGCTGCTCGGTGCATCTCGTCGCTCGAAAATGTCCGACGCCCGACACGTGATCCGACCCGAGTTCTCCCGGCGGCCGCGCTCCATCACAACACCATCTCCGCGCTTGGGTACTCCACATTCCGAAGTCGAGATGCGACTGCCGTTGTGGAGTAGGACCGAACTGCGCCGTGAATTGCATCGTGACAGGTCCGGACTTCGTCTAAGTTAGACCAGTTCGAAGATATGTTCACATTGTTACACGAGAGTTGTCGAAGTTCAAGAGAGTTGATAACGCGCTATCTATGCCTGTCTCCTTGCGCTTAGTCCTTATCCGTAATTACGAAGCTCCAGATCTCTCGCCACACTCCGCGTGCTAATCGCGCTGGTCTTCTCTCCAAAATCTGCTCTATCCGCGCTCTTTCGTTGTTCCTCGAAGCCTCCGCTTCCATCTCCTCCTGCATCATGGGGTCCATGCTCACACTAAGATGCACCTGTTCCTGCTTGAACGGGTCTTCAAAGGTGCTCAGAGGACTCACAATGCCATCGTGCTGGGCGTCCATCTCGTACGAACCGAACCGATGTCGCGGAACTGGCGGAACTGAGACTGGGCCTTCGAGCTCGATGCTGGATAGATCTTCCAGGACGTAGTCTTCCACCGCAAGGTTGCGGAGGTCAACTTTGGATGTTCGGGGATATATGTACTTGTATGAGAGGTACAAAGATCCGAACAAGAAGGGGCCAATGTATGCTCCGAGGACATCGAAAGCGAGGCTGATGGTAGACTTCAGGTTGTCTGTGGAAGTGAGGCTGCCTTTCGCGACAAGAATGACCAATGGTGGAACACCAGACCATATGAGGACGAACGCGCTTCCGAAAATCCCGATATATGCAGGCAGTGGTTGCCATCGGGACTTGAACAGGCGTGACATGTAGAGTGGGTGATTGCGACCGAAGATCTGCCGCCTCGCTAAGCGGTCAAGGCCAGCTTTGAAGCGCAGAAAGGTGATGCAAAGAGTGAGATAGATGCATGCCGCAGTGCCTGTGTACAGTTCGGAGAGTGTAATACGCGGCTGTGAGCCAGTCTTGTCTGCCAAGCCTATCAGAGACAAGAACCCGAGTGCTGAGCACAGCAAAATGGCCGCCAAAGGTGTATGCCCATTGTTAGTCCGACCAAAGATCTTTGCGATATTCCTTGGGAGGTACTGCTGTGAAAGCATAAACACACTACGAGATGCGGCGTAGAGATCGGTATTGGCTGTAGTGTATGCCGATATAATGAACAACCCGTTCAAAACCTTCGGTAGCGCGTGGATAGAAGACTCTTCGGCCGCGATTACGAACGCTGACTTCGTAGCGTAGTCGCCCCTCGCCCATATCTTCGGAAGCTGCGGGTCGGCGTAGTTGACATTTGCTCCAGCGGCTAGCATCGCAAATGGGTATATGCTGAGCGGAACGATGTAGACGAACGACATGGTGATGGGCACGTCCGTCCAAGGATTCTTTGCTTCACCGACAGTCATAGCGACCAGGTCTGCTCCGAAGCAAGAAAACATGGCTAAGACGATTGAAGTGCTTCACAAGATGTTAGCTCTCAGCGGTATCTGGAGGTATGCTAGAAACCCACATGAGAGCGAACAGTGTCCCTCCGGGGCCGGATATACCGAAAGTTTCATCAGGAACACCAGCCATCTTGAGAGAGACAGGAGTGGTAGTATTGTGGCCAATTGGCTTCCAGTCCGATGTGAATCCGAAGGTCGTATAATCTGCATTGATCAGCGTTGTCACACGTAGCCTGAAGATGTTGAACGTACTCGAATGGTATTCTCCTTGTCTCGGGCCGCCGCCTTGGTAGCGTTAGACACATGGCTATGTTGCATTGAAGCGCGGAAGCATACCGGAGAAGTTCAAGACCACACCCATAACACATACAAGGACCAGTAAGCTCAGTTTGAACCACATGACGACCTAAACGCTCGTCAGTTCGCTGTTCGTATCGAGAGCCGTCACCAGGGTGACCGAATCCGTGTCGCATGTTGCCGCATACAGATTGCTAACTCTTAGCAAGTAAACACGCTCTAAGCTAACGTATACTTCTAGCTTAGTGATGATTTTGTAAAATGCGGCACGGATTGGAGCTACCCCTAGTGCTGTTTTGCTCAAGGTGACGTACTCGTTCGATCTTGCCATACAGCTAATACAACGTTAGCCAAGTTCGTCCTTATTCAAGAGCACAACTTACCTTGACGCCGAGGCAGTGAGAAAGGGTAGTCAGGGCGATGAAGGCGATATTGATAGCTGCCTCAGCACCAGCAGAATGCGGCTTTGGGTCGCTCTTCAGAAGCGCAGTCAGCTCCGCCGAACTCGCTGTAAGAGTAGCCATCGCACAAATCTTGCCTAGCCTGATGGTCGTCAGCGACGCCTTTCAGAAGTTTCCTATCGATACTCACCCGTACATAGATGCGATAGCGAAACCGCAGGCTGGGTCTAAGAACGTGTGAGGCAGATCAATGAGAGCTCCGGTCAACGGTCGACATGCAACCATCTCAGTGATAGTGTACATGACGCAAGCAACAATACCACCTGCGACTACATAGCTGATAGCAGCCCCTAAAGATCCAGTGGTAGCGATCAGTGCACCGGACGTAATGAAGATTCCTCCACCTATGCAACCGGATATGCCAATACCTGAGGAGTTAGCAATCAGCGCCTTTGTCGATTCACTTCTTTGGCACTTACCCGCCAGTTGAGGCCTACTGAGAACACGGTCAAGATGTTCTGAGTGGGTCACATAATATGGCGATCTGTCAAGGGGACGCTTTTCTTCAGCCATTTTGCGTGGGATTCCCAGGCGAATCCGTACCGAAGTACGACCTCGTCAGGCTGAGGATATTTGCGAACTAATTATGAAGGTTGACTGCGACCTTGAACTAGAAAAAGATGCTTGCGCGACGAATACAAACCCTCGTGACTATTTGGCCTCCATTCGGCACGTCTTCAGCTTCACTCCCCAAACCACCTGTGGCGGGGCTTAGACCATACCGGTCGGCCTCCCTGTCTGCCTCGCGTGTTGCCCACCAACGCCAGAGTGACTGGAGAGATAGGCTTCGTGATGAGGACGGTACATGGGCACGCGACTTGGTATTGCTGTGATTGGTCAGAAAGGCGGGATATCGGGGAAAGATAACCAAGGTTGCACATGCTCGTATGCACAAGGTTGCTAGGCCAAACTAAGTGCGCCACGGTCGACAAACATTGGTGGATGGTGCAGGACGTCCTCTCAGCCGCGCCTTAGTCGCGTTCCGGTGTACATTTCAGGCTACGTGTTGCAGCTAGGCGACAACTATGGTAATTGATAGGGCCGAACTACATTGTGGAGACAGCGTCCCCCATAGTGATTATTGCTTTCCTCTGGGCGGGCGTTCTGTGTGGACTTCCTGTGCAATACAAACAGGATATTGCCAATGCAGCTGATAACGGGTACGCCGCATGCAGACGAGATCGCGAGCTGAAAGTATGTCAGATAGTGTCACGTCCTTGACCTACATACATTCAAGGCTCTCCAGGGATGAAGCTTTGGTTAACACCCAGCTAACGGTTTCCCAGTGATGATTGCAGTTAGAGTGCATTGACGATGTCCATATCCAGCAGCTCTACCGGCCCTTCGGCGCGTCGCTCGTCGTTAGCGATGGACTACTTCCAGGTGTATTCAGCCTCATCAGGATCGCAGTCGAGTAATCTGTTACAACGACCAAGGCGGCTGTCGTTTCTGAATGCGCCCGATGTCGCGACGTCCATCTCATCGTTAGGATGGGTGGCAACATGCTCATCGAAGCAGATACGGTTATACGACGTGAAGAGCGCGAACAGAAGTCGGACTATCCAGCCCAAAGCCGTCTTGAATATTTCGATGATTCTGAAAGATGAGGATATCCGTGGAATTGCTCTCTCGGATGATCTGCTCGCAGTGATCACCCACAATCGATTGCTGGTGTATGACGAGTATCGCACAAACAACGGCCATGTGCCTAGCCTCGTGAGAGAAGAGCGGATTGACCAGGACGGAAACTGGACCCCGAGATCCGTGTCGATCTCACAACTTGGACGCCAGTCTGCCGAGGGAGGGGCAACGGCGAGCATCGCAGTGGGTGGAGAAGGAGTGAGTGCAGTGAAGATCTTTACATACAGGTACATGCCGGCCTGGAACGTTCAGGGCGACCATGTAGTCCTGAAGTGTCCTCAAAACAACGGTGCTGTCAAGATTGTTGGGTTCTCGCCCTGTCGAAGTGATGCCATCTATGGGCCAATGGTGTTTGCTTTGACAACAGGGAATCACTTGTATTGCTGGGTTCTCGCTCGCCTGGATCCTTGCTGGCACGTTGACTGCAATGCGAGAAGTAATGAACGCGTAAGTGACATGTTCCAAGGCCCGGTGCAAGGCTGACTCCAGGCAGGCATATCGCGATGAGATAACGGACGCGGCTTTTACCATCTCTCCAAACGGTCGACCTTACATCCTCTGCACCGTCGACCACCAACCACGTTCACACCTCCCAGCGACCTTCCTCGTGGCAGTCGACACTCTCGGCTTCGATCCACACGTTCTCCGTCAACCAATAAGACCCATTCCTGATAGGGTAGTCAGTACGAGCGTTGTCGCTGGAGTTGCGAGCTTCAACGGCAGGTTTCTAGTGGTTGTAGAAAGGGAGAGGAATAGAGACAAGATGAAGCTGCTGACAATTCAGGGCGCACTTGGGGGTGGCTTGACATGTTCCACTGCCCACACAACAACGTGGGAAGTCGAGCTGCAGAGCAACAATATCGGATCTTCAACGATCTCAATCATGATAGAAGAGCAGAAGGATGCCCTGGAGATCATCGCGGTGGATGGACGCGGCCATGTCGTCTATTCGGGCGTGAGGGTGCTGGGCATGCCACAGGGCCCAATTCGACCCATTGCACCACCCAGAAGCTCCATCATTTCCGAGCTCCCGTTCGACCCGATCAGAAGGGAATTGTCGTCGGACGAAAGTAGTCGCCACTCTGTCACGCCTTCTTATCGGGGGATGAACAGCCTCGAAATTGTTCCTGGCTGACTGATGGCGGTGACTCGAGCCATTGACATAGCCTTCGGAAAGTGCCCGTAGATGCAAGCGCGATGGACTGTTGTGGGTATGGTGGTTATGTGAGCGGATAATGGAAGTTGCACGCTGGTCGCGTCAGTATCGCGTCGCGAACTAGTGCCGGCTGACTAAGCCTGCCTCCGTCATCTCCAGGCTCCCCGGGGCCATCTCTCACGATCGGCAATCGCAACCCAACGCCTTGTACATCCGCTCGTACACACACAACGCCAACAATGTCGCGTTGGCGAAGGATTTACATATCTCCGAGCTCTTATGATCGCCAGCCAAAGGCCAAGATGGTGTCGCTTATGATGGCTCATAACCGTCATCAGCACGCGGCTTGAACGCGATGGGACGACCTTCAGCAACACTCCAAAGCTGTTTCCCGGATTGGCAATTGTCGATAATTGCGCGTTAGGTACGACAAACGTGCTTCGAGACGCATCTTGGTGGAGTAGCAGCGAGTTACCACGGTTTCCTCGCGCTTACCAGTTTGTTCCCTCAACCCACGCAGCACATCTCGCTTTCCACATGGAGGGCTACTCATGCCAGACATGAGAGGTGGAGGAAGGCTCGATAGGTGGACAATACAACGTGTCTGGCATATATAGCTACTCACCCTCAACACTCAAGACACTTCTTCTATCACCCATTTCTTCCTACTGATCGCACACTACCTAAGATTCTAGTCATACTCTGACACTCCTGTTCAGTGCTCCAACAAGCCTACACTTCAGCTACCAAGACAGCCCTCTCGAGACGATTCACGGCACGCTCCCATCCAAAGATGATGTTCCGCGCCGCTCTTCTATGCTTCGCTGCACTCTTCTCGCAACACGCTTCTGGCGTACCATACCCACAGCCAAACTCAACATTGCTCGCGAACAACACAATCTGCAACTCCACCGCCCGCTTTTGCGAAGGCGATCCCAACGCCGTCAACCCTCCTCCCCTCGGTTCGGGAGAATACGTATGCCACGAAGTTTACCCAACCGATCTCACCGTCATCAACGCGCGCTACCCCGATTACGACGTCGACCACCTACACCAAGCAAAGCAGTTCTTCATGCTACGTCGTCAGGTCAAAGATGCTGGAGAAATTGCCACACGTGTACAGTTTCAAGGCCTACCGAACAGCACGTCGAACTACACCTGCCGTCTCGAATTTGTCCTCCCCCGCCTTGAGCTCCAGAAGATCTCTGGCCCGAACCCAAGCTTTCACGTATACCAAGTCGAGCGCGAAGCCGGTGCGATCGCTACATGGAATACATATGAGGCGGAGAAGAACGCCTTGCTGTTCGGTACGGTCAACGGCGAAAGCCAGGCGCTTGAGAGGACAAGGAGTGTCGGCGGCGTTGCGGCTATCGACGAGACGGCTTGTAACGAGACAATGTCGTTTATGATGGCAATGATGTACGACAGCCCATCTGCACCGAACTACTGGGAATTCTCGAATGTTGCGCCTCCCGCGTTTCCGGTACAAGGGTTCAGGATTGTATACGGATGTTGAGCAGGGAGTAAGTGCCCGTGGTATAGTCACGGGATGGCACTGAATGCCATGTGAAGTAGCTATTCTGCCACTAGTATTATGACATAACATTCTTGTTCTAACAACTTTTGCTTCGCCTAACATGTGATCAGTAGTTATACCTGCCTTGGTCACGGTGGCCGGAGCTAAGTATAAGTGGGGCGTGTTGTGAGGAAGGCACGACTGAAGTCTCACTTCTTCCCTGGAACTCTTCACTCACTCAACACTCCACCTCCAACCACTACAATGCCGCCGAAAAAGCGCAAAGACGAAGAGGCGCCCAGCGGCTACGCGCCGCGCGGGAAGATGGCGAGGACTCGCCCGCCCTCAAGCTTTTGGGATGCCGGTTTCCCATCCGAAGGCGGATCGCCTTACACCGGCAGTGGGCATGTGAACCCCCGCTGGAAAACGAAGTTGATGCAAGGACGGACTCGCGAAGCTCAAACGCCAATGCCAACACCAACGCCAACAGACGTATCCGCGGAGGATGCAGCAACCCCTGCACATGGTGGCAACGCTCTCCAGCGTCGACTTTCTGCCATGACTGGCCAGGGCGCGTCGACTCCGAACGACGACATGACTTCGCCGAGTAGGCATGACGGTATCGCGCAGGATCCCCAGACCCCTTCGCTGGTGGAACGACGCCCCAGCCATGCGTACAACGGCCTATTTAGGGGTCGAGGCGGAGCGACTATGGGTATGAACAGGCAGGCATTTCATGTGCCACCAGGGAGACATCCATCTTCGGATATACTCATGCCGCCGCTGCCGTCTAGTATGCAGCGCTCGAGTGTTCTACGTCGTAGAGACGCACAACACGTCGGTGCGGCTGAAGAGGAAGACGGGAGTGCGCATCGAAATGACGATGTAGTGCCCGCTGAACTCGAGGAGGAAGAGGAAGAGGAAAACGGGAGTGCGCATCGAAATCACGATGTAGTGCCCGTTGAACTCAGTGGTGAAGAATCCCAGTTACCTGGCGTTCTTCCATCAAGTAGGGTTGGGCGGCCGTCTTCTCAGGAAGAGAACCTGTCACCACAGCCAACCTCACCGTTGCCTGTGGTAGTTCAGAGGGTTGATGAAGCTAGGCCACAAGAATCTCTTGTCGTCGGCTTGGATTCAGAAACCGTGGAGGTATTGGAGAAGCGCCTGGCCCAGGTTTTGAGTCAAGTGAAGAACTTGCGCGCCGAGGCGTCTGCGGATCTCCGCGTGATGTTTCGGAAGGGAGTGCAGTTGGCGAATACCGATCTATCAGGGATCGACCCTGCTATTTTGGGAAGGGTGTGGGAAGACCTCGAGGCAGAGGACGCTGTAGGCATGGTGGAGACGGATGATCCAGATATCGCCGCGCTCTTTGACGAAGAGGAAGAGCCGAAAAAGTGATATCTGTTAGCAGGAGAGAGGGATGGCTGGCTCAGTACCATGAAAGTACTTGAAGTATTCTTTGTCCGCACATTCTACCTTTTTGAACTGATGCATACGACTAGCATTTTGTGATAAAATTGGGTGACAAAATACTGTCCTTATTTGCCACGTACCCTTATTCAGCTTGAGTGTTCGTTGTACTGTTCGTGTATTAGCTGAGAACCATGTGTGAGCTCTTGCCTATGCAACATTCACTTCTCGTAAAACCATGGGAGTGGCGCATGGATGGCATATTGGATACCACTGTTTTCTCTGTTTGTCATGATATCTTAGCTTTTGGATTACAGCGCGAATATTAGACCATACTATTCTCATGGCAAGCACTTGTTTCATATTACGCAGTACAAAGGAGTTATTCATGCGCGGCAAGCGCTATCAATTCGCTATCTACTCTTCCGCCACCCCAGCGCCGCACGTCAAATGCGCGATCAGAATAAGCACCAGAAAAGCCCCTCCACCCCAATGCAAACTATGCATGCATCCCTCGACAAACAGAACAAGGAAAAGTGGGTCATAGTACATGAGTAGGGTAATGAGAACGCGTAAAGAATGCCATAACCACCAAGAGAAAAATGCGTGCCAACGCGACGCTCAGATGAACCTCCCTGTCTGCGCCAAACACCGTGCGCGATGCCAGCCAAATGGACCAACTTCCCCACATAAAGATGGGTATTTACACATTATGCCAACGCTCAACGACGCGCTTGTGTCTGCGAGAACCAATCGTCTTGTGTGGAATGGTACTGCCGCCGTAACTCGGCTTCTTCCTCTTCTTGACTTGACTTGAGGATTTCTTGCATCGTCTCAATGTCTTTGATGATGACGTTGAACGCCTCGGTGACCTCCTTAAGGACAAGGTTGCGATTGTAGTCTGAGCGGTGCTTCCAGATGGCGTCCATGAGCGCGGCGTTGATCTGCTCTAGTTGTTCGAGCGAGCATCCAGATGTCGAGCGGACCAGCTTGTCATGCAGCGCAATGACCATGCTGTCGTCGAGGATGAGCTGCGGCTTCGGCTCTTCGTCATTGAGAATCTGGTTAAGATTCGAGTGGTGTGGAGGTGCGGGCGCAGGCATGGAAGTAACATGCTGAGACGATTGAGAAGGTTGCGATGGCTGCGAGTTCGATGGCTGGCTGCTGACGTAGTGGACTTCTGTATTTGAAATGTGGTCAGTGTTGTGCTCTGGGGAGAAGCGAGTGGAGACCTGGAGTCGCTGGTGGAAGGGGGTTGGCGAACCTTGTGTGTCTGGAAGCTGCGACCCGTTGGGCTCCGGCATCATCTCTGAGAAATTGGGGACACCAGATGGTGCAGCGCCGTTGCTACTCTGAGTGCCAAACTTGTTGTCCGAAGACCTGTTCGACGTCTTCTGACCAGAAGTCGTTGTGGATGCACTGTTGTGGTAGTCGTTGGGATGCGAGTTCGGTGCCATGAAGGTCCGCCCGGACATCTGCGACTTTTGCGTTTGGGTTCCCTGGCCCTCAATTCTGCTCGGTGTTTGGAATTGGAAGTCGTGCTGTGTATTGGCATTCAGATCTTGACTGTCAGTCATATGAGTGTCGTCGTTGGAAGGCGCAGTAGAACCATTCGTTGCATGCTGTGTGCCTTCGCCACTCGTGCCATTGGATAGACCTTCAGCATGAGGGGCTCGCAACGGGGTTACCGGTGGCATGGCCAAACGGCCAGGAACAGGCTCACCCAGAGTGATAGGTCCTGAAGTTTCGGTGGTACCGATAGACTGTTCTGGAGGTACGCGTGCGACGTCTTCGAAATCCTTGTTTGCAGCGATGGCTCTCTCCCGCTTTTCTTGAGCCTTCCTCTCTCTTTCGAGTTCGCGCTGGTAGACTGCTTCACACTCTTGGAGAAGCCCAGGGTTCTGGTGCATAAAGAAATTGTCCAGATCGACCTCAACATTTGTGATCATCTCATTGCCCTTCAGGGTTCGCTCTGCGTCTCCGAAAGTCCTCGCGTCCTTCACAAGAGTCTTGATATCGAAGAGGTAATCTGCAGGGCGCTTGTAGTAACCATTGGACAAGCGCTTCTCGATCGTACCAAGGTCCAGATTGTAGTATTTGTTGCCGCTGTCGACGTGTAGCAGAACGTCGACGCCTTTGGAATCCTTGGAGAATTCCCACGGACGAACAACGCCTTGCTCTTCTTGTTGCTCACGTGGCAGGTCTGATCGCACATGATCAGAATCTTGCTCCTCGAGCAGATAAGCATACCAGGATTCTTCCAGAATTGGCTTAAAGAATTTCCTGTGACTCCTCTTCAGTTGGTCCATGATGGGTTGAATGACAATCTTCATCTTGTTGAGGGTGAGCCTATCCTGTTTCTTCTGCGCCTTCTCGCGGGCGGCAAGTTCCTTAGGGTCAACCACTGGAGCGACGATAGGTGCAGCCTCAAGTTCTGGTAAGATCCGCTTCTTCCTGTTATCCGGATCAGGAAAGTCTGCTGGAGACATGCGGATGTAGTGACTGATGCTGTTGAAGAACTCTGCTCGCCCTTCTTGGTCTGGCCGCATAAGATGGAACTGATTGGATTGTGAGAAGGAGAAAAGATCCATCATCATCTGGCGATCAGGCTTCTCCTTCTCATTGAGCAATTCCATGACACCCAGCAGCATGATCGGTTCGTTCGCGCCAACGCTTCGCAGTAGTAGCTTGAAGGTCTTGATAGCTTGGGCAGGCAGTGTCTGATACCAGACATCGACTGAAGGGATGTAAATGACACTAGGCTTGTGCCGCCTGACCTCTGTAAACAACTGGGTAATGGCTGCCTCAGGTGCTCGCGTGGAGTCCTCAAGGATAGTGGGAAGGTCGAAGGATTGAACATGCAGACCTTCAATTTTGTTCAAGAGAGCAGCACCAAGATATTGCTGGCCCATACCTTGAAGACCGCTAATGAGCAAACGGGGTCTGAAGATTCTGCTGCTCTCGAAGTTGCGCATGGTGGCTTCGCGCTCGAAGCCCTTTTCGTCGTCGCGGTCATCGTACGCTGCTTCCTCGAGTGCGCTGAGTTTCTTCCTCCGTGGGATGAGTTCGTCTATGCGCTTGAGGATCGCGGCTAGTGGCTTCCGTAATAATGGCTCGATGTTCTTTGCCAGTGGTGCTGCACTAGCCGTGACTGTCCGTTGAGAAGATGGCACCATCTTGTTGACCGAGATCATGAAATCCTTGGCTAGGATCTTGATGGTGCTGGGATCAATCAGAAGCTTCTTTTCAGATGTGTAAATCTGAGGGTAAGTCCCCTGTACGGCATTGAGAGCCGCTTCTGTGCAAAGCGCCCGAAGGTCGGCACCTCCATAACCCTTGGTTAGTTCGGCAAGTTGATCCTTCATTTCCGGCTTCAGAGGTGGCTCCCAGTTCTTAGTGTGGATGTTAATGATGGAACGTCGGCCTGCAACGTCTGGCAACGGGAAGTAGAACTCGCGGTCGAATCGTCCTGGACGTCGCAGTGCAGGATCTACGGAATCAGGACGATTGGTGGCGCCTATCACGATGACTTGTCCGCGACCATCCATACCATCCATAAGAGCGAGTAGGGTAGCGACAATCGAGGCGTG